CTCCGCTCTGAGGTGGGGGCAGTGAGCAGCCGATCAGGTGGACAGGGTGCAGAGGAATGACAGGACACAGTGGAATGATGGGATGCAGTAGAATAACAGGGTACAGTAGAATGACGGGGTGCAGTGGAACAACAGGGCACAGAGGAACGGCTCTGCGCAGACAGCAGGGACGGCTCTGGCTCCCGGCGGCACGTCCCGCTGCAGGGGCGGCCCAGGCAGAGCCGACGTCCTCGGGGCAGCTCTGGGCACCCGGGGGGCCGTGTCGCACAAGGGAACGTGCTGTGCTGTCTTCCTTCTGGTTTGAGAAACGTGGCAGCCCCTCGTAATCTTTGCTGTCGAAGCCCCCAAACAACCTCTGCTTTTACCTGCTGGCGACTGTCCCCAAGCACATCCCTGGGTGTGGTGCCAACCCCACAAGCACCTACTGTGTGCCAGGCGCCGTCTGAGGCCTCGGGGATAAACCAATGAACGAGACAGACAGCTCCTGCCCTCGTGACCTCACTGCCTGGACGGGGAAGCCGGAATACAGAGACATCACAAAAAAGGACAGACAGACAAGGTGGCTTCCGACAGCCTTGGGCGCCAGGTGCAGAAAATCGGAGTTTGAGGATGGAGACCGGCGGTGACGGCGGCGGTGGAGGAGCTGCTCCAGGTAACGGCGCGAACTGACTCCCAGGTTCCTGCCGTCCCAACCTCGTCCTCTTCTCCGTGAGCAAACACTGTGCCCTGAGCTCTGCACACGCAGCCCCCCACCCCACAGAGTGCTCATCCCTCAGGTCTCGGCTTAACTGACTCCCTTAGAGGGGCCGCCCTGAGACCCCACACGAGAGCAGGCCCCCCGCTTTTCCTGACCCCCTACAGCCCTTGCCACGGTGACCAGTGGGCGGTCATCGGCGCCGCGTTTCTATGCTGCTTGCCAAGTTCACGGGGACAGAAACCAGGACCCTGCAGCACCCGCCAGGCTCTGCCACGCACCCAGCGCAGAGGGCCCCCCGGCGGGGATCTGCTGCAGTAGCCAAGGCACCAAGCGCCTCCCGGAAATCGCCGCAGCCAAAGAGTGCGGAGAGAGAACGAACGGACGAGAGAAACCTGGGCGAGCGGCTCCAGGGTTCCAGATGAGGAACCACGTCGCATCTCCGGGGTGTCTCTCCGGGTCGAGAGGGCAGCAGCGGTTGTAAGAGACACGTCACACGGGAGAACCCCCTCCGGCCCCGTCTCCCACAGGCCCCAGTCGGCCGGCGCTCACGGGCCCCGACTGTGCACCAGGCGTGATGTTGAGGCACGCGGGCAACATCGAAGGGCAGCAGTGAGCTTCCTCCCAATGACAGAGGAGACACACACGGGCGTGGGGTTTCTTTCTCCTCTTACCCTTTCTTTGCTCCTCTGGGAAAATCTGAGCTCGGTCTTTTTGAAAAGCCGCTACGTCCAGAGAAGAGCAGGTTTGCAGGCGCTCAGGCCCGGGCCCAAACCCACCCCCACTCGTGGGACCGCAGGCAAGACCAGAAAGCCCTCCTGAATGTCAGCTCCCTCGTGAGCGCTGCCGTGAGAATTAAGTACGGTCTCGGGCAAGGGGCTCTGGGCAGCGGTCAGGGCCAGCGCGGGGCCAGGGCTACAACCCCGCGGGCACTGCCTGCCTCCAGGGCCTCCAGACCGGCCAGCGGCACACACTTCCTCCTCCTCCTCCTCCTCCTCCTCCTCCTCCGGTCCCAGCACGCCCGGCGCCACGCCACCACCACCCGCCAGGGCAACAGTGGAGGCGCCTGCTAAAAACCGAAGGCAACATCCCCCCCTCGAGTCCCCTCTGTGAGCGGCAGCCTGGGAACCATCGGCAGGGAGGAGAAACCACCAAGCAAGCCAAGGAGATGCTGCTCTTGGCCAAGAAAAAAGAAAAAACAAATCAGCGAGTTTGGACCTGCGGGGCTCAGTGGGTTGGGTGTCATCCCACAAAGCAAAAGGTTGCTTGCTGGTCGATTCCCAATCGGGGCACAGGCCGAGGTTGCGGGTTCGATCCCTGATCAGGGCGCATTTGGGAGGCAACCGATCTGCGTTTCTCTCGCACATTCCTTGTTTCTTTCCCTCCCTTTCTGCCCCCTCCCCCCCACCCCCAGTAGAGAAATAAAGAAACAAGTCAGCGAGACCGAGCAGAGTAACTGCTCTGATGGGTCTCAGAAGTGAGGCGTTCGTCAAGCCACCTGACGGCCTGCCCAGAATCCCAGCTAACCCTCGTGGAAGAACTACAAGTGGGGTACGTGCTCAGCTGGAGGAAAAAGCTGTTCTTCCTGGGAGACCATCACTGGGAGACCACCACAGACTTCCAGGGCCACGAAGCCCCTGACATTCGGAGGGTGCTCTCTTTCGAGATGCTCATATGAGCCCAGGTGGAACGATGAAAAGAAACCCACAATGATGCCACTAAAAATGTGTCTCCTTGCCCCGGCTGCTGTGGCTCAGTGGACTGAGCGCCAGCCTGCAAACCAAAGGATCACTGATTCAATTCCCCGTCAGGGCACATGCCTGGGTTGCGGGCCAGCTCCCCAGTTCAGGGGAGTGTGAGAGGCAACCACACAATGATGTTTCCCTCCCTCCCCCCACTTCTCTCTAAAAATAAATAAATAAAATATTTTTTAAAACGTGTCTCCAGGTCCCCGCAAGGAGCACCCAGCCGTGGTGTCTGAAGCAGAGCTGGCATTCAACAGTTGGGGACCCTGGGACGGGCGGGGCAGGGCGGGGAGGCCGGAAGCTGGGGGGCAGGAGGGAGGGAGGGAGGGAGGGAGGGATACACCAGCTCTCAAGCAAAGCCGTCCCGGGTCACGCCTGGTAGTGAATGTTTAACACGCTTCAGGCCAAACAGGACTGGCTCCCAAGAAGACAGAAATACAAAATCCCAGAGCTACAAGAACACAGTCTTGGCAGAACCCACACCCCTGAACCAGCCAACTGCAGTGGCCACAACATTCCACACGACGCAGGGACAAAGGACAACGGGGTCCCTGGTGCTCCACCACCCCTTGAATGGAACACAGAGGAGGACTGATTTTCAGGCACTAACTGCTCCAGTCGGAAGGTCAGAGGGTGTTACCCGCTTGCCAGTTAAGTGCCTAGGAGCTGATTGCATTTCACCCAGTTCTGCATTTCCGCAGTTTGGAGGAAAACGGACTTTCAGCAAGGGACGTTTGGGAGTCACCTGCCTGCTCACACCACTTCATGTGACAAGAGACGTTGACGAACCTGCCAGGGACTCCCCCTTCCTCCTACTGCCTGTCCTCCTCTTCCTCCCTCCACCCTCTTGGACAGCGTGGCAGATTTTAATTGTCACCCGTGGCCTTCTGATTAGGGAACTGACCTAAAATGAGTGATAACACCTGAGAGGCCGCACAACCCTGACACCCGCAAGTGGGTCAGTGAGACCGGGTGCCAGGCGGGGCCAGGCCAGCCCTGCGCCGAGGGAGTGAAGCCTGGCAGGGCCTGGGGAGGGGGGCCGTGGCCGGGCAGGAGCACCCTTCCCGGCAGGATGGAAGCCCCTCTCTCTGCTGACAGCACCCACTCAGCTCACGGAGAGCCCCAAGTCAGACCCCAGGGAGCTGTCCTCTCAGGCCAAGCACTCGGCACTCCTAGGGACAGAGGGGCAGTGTTCTCTGCTTCTGTGTCTATCTGGGGTCCGTCTCTATGGGCCACAGGACACGGCCACAGAACATGGGTCACAGGACATACGTCACGGGACAAGGCCACAGGACACCACTCCCAGGTTCCAGGGACACAGGATCACAGAGCTGCTCAGCTTTGCCTCCAAGCTCCCCCACGCTCCGCTGCTGCCAGCCACGCTCTGGAGAAAGGCCGGGGAGACCCTGGTCGCCTGGACGGCTCTCTGCGGGGCCTGCTCTCCTCCCATCGGGCCAGGCTCGGGGCCAACACCACAGCAAGGACGCATCACCCCCATGTCTCTTCCCCGACGTCCAGCGTGACCCTCTCCCAAGGCGGTAGCGTACGGTGCCCCCGGGGGCAGACGAGGAAACTGACGATCAGAGAATGCGCGTAAACCATAACGTGTTTGAGGCTAAAAACCGAGGAAGCTCAAACCCTGTTCCGTGTCACTTACTAGACACGTGACTGGAGACAGACCTCCCCATGGAGCCGAGCATGGGGGTCTTGGACTGTCGGAGCCGCAGCACAGATGCCCGACACGGAGGCTGGAGGGAGGACCACAGCGACTGAGGGGTCGGGGGGAGGCTGGGTAGTTTAAATCGCTAAACAACGATAAGGTATCATCAAAAACGATAAGGCATTTTACTTTACCAGCCACGAGATGATGAAGTGAATCCACAAAGACGGCTCCCCGGGGTGAGGGGGGGGCGGGGGCTGTGCACTGTGAGCCCACAATCAGACAGAAGTTACTGTGAATGGAACCCACCTTAAGGGGCTCCCGCGGGGCCCCGTTATGAATGACCCAGTGCAGGAAGCGGGCAAAGGAAGAACTCTGACACGAGAACCCACCCTGTCCAGGGGGGTGCACTTGGCATAAGCAGGTCCCCCAAAGACCCCTGCCCAGACGCAGCATCGGACGCTCTGGAGAAGGCGGACCCCTCCCCCTCCTCCTGTCGGGACTTTCCTGCGCTCCAGACCCACTGAGCAGCCGGAGCTGCGGGTGTTCCCCCTGTTCCCACTCACACACACAAAAAAGAACCCCAAAGAACTAACAAACAAAACCCAGGCCAGGGGAGTCCCCTGAGGCTCCCCCTCCCCAACATCACAGTCGGTGACCAGCTCTGGGGGCTCCGGTCGGACAGGGTCACAGCATGCACTATGTCTCAGTCACGCCTTGTCCCACGTACCCAGCACAGTGTGCAGAGTGCAGCAGCCGTTTGATTATGACGACTGCAGGAGGAATGAATGAATGGGTGGGTTTGTGAATGAATGAAATGTACACTGGGTTCCATCTCATGCCACTGCAGTGGACCCACTCACCCCGCCCCAAAAAGTGTAACGAGAAGCAGAAGCCTTACTCTTCCAAGGCCTGCGGCATGCTGCCGGGGTCCTCTGAGGACAGAATGCCCACCATCTGGTCATTCAGAGCAAGGTCTTCGTCCACGGCATCGGCCGACGTGAACAGGGCGTGCTCCGGCTTGCTCTCGTGATGCTGACCCTGTGGGCGAGGTTCAGAAACGGTGATTCGGTGGGTCTTCTCGTGGCTGTCACGTGCTGCGAAAGCCACGAGGGAAGGTGGGATCTGTAACAGTCAGAGAACCGGGCTGTCCTCACCGCCTGGCAGCAGGGGAACCTCGGGGGAGACACAGCATTTCCCTGAGCCTCTAATTTCTCATCAAAGAAATGGGCTCATAATTCCAGGAGCCCTGCACAGCGCTGTGCGGATGAAACAAGGCAATGAGTGGACAATCTCAACACGTTAAAGATCTAGAAAAATATTTTGCCATCACCACCATCAGTACCATTATTGCCACTGTCATCACCATCATCACTACCACCATGATCACCATCACCACCATCACCAACATCATCACCATCAACATCACCACCATTGCCATCACCACCATCACCAACATCATCAGCATCACCATCACCATCATCACCATCACCAACATCATCACCATCACCACCATCACCAACATCACCACCATCACCATCACCATCAGCATCACCACCATCAGCATCACCAACATCATCAGCATCACCACCATTACCATCACCAACATCATCAGCATCACCATCACCACCATCACCAACATCATCAGCATCACCATCACCATCATCACCATCACCAACATCATCACCATCACCACCATCACCAACATCATCAGCATCACCACCATCAGCATCACCAACATCATCACCATCACCACCATCACCATCACCAACATCATCAGCATCACCATCATCACCATTGTGTAGAGAAAAATGTCAGTTGGCAGATGAACTTCAACATCATGAATCTGGCTGGTTTCTAATCAGAAATATACGATTGTAGGACAGACGTGGCATCAGAAATAAGTACGCCCAGTGCTCTGATTGGATAGATGGTATGTCAGTCTTGTCCTCAGCATCAGTCCTGCAGAAACGGGCGTTAGCTGAGCTAACAACGAACAAGTCCTGCCCCTGTGCCTTGTCTGTGTCATATCATAAAGCCGTCACAACAAAGTATCGTTGCCCCCACTTTACACATGGGGAACCTGCAGCTCAGAGAGGTGACACGACATCGTCCAAGGTCGCACAGGTCACGGAGGCCAGGTGGGCCTCTGATCCCGAGTCACCCGAGCCCAGCGGCTCCTTCTGTCTCAGGCAGCATCGTCTCATTGGCGGCTCCCATGCTGGGAAAGATAAAACCAAACGTGACAGGGGTTCCTTCTGTGACGGAGGAAAACACTGCAAGGGCCTTCAACCTTAAATCAAATCGCACTTGGCTTTCCCCTCCGCAATCGTAACGCTCAGCCGTAACATCAGTCCACTGACAGGACAACCCTCTCCTCCAGGAAGCAGAAGCAAAATGAACAAGGGGACCAGCCTTCCAGCCTCCGGAGAGAGGGGGGCCCAGCAGCCAGGTTCCAGCCTAGGTTTGGGCACTTGGAGAAAGTTATTTAAATTCACAGGCCTCAGTTTCCCCAATATAAAGAGGGAGAAAGATGACAGATATTCCTCCAAGTTGTTGGGCCTCTGGGTGACAGTCACAGCAGCTTCTGCTGCCCCTTGCCCTGAAGAAATGCGGACTCCCAGCAGTGCCTTCTGGGAGTGGTCCCCCAGAGCTCTCCTCATCTGATGAGCTGCCATCCTGCTCTCCCTAAAACCACCAACATCACCATTACCACCATCATCACCATCACCATCATCATCACCACCATCGCCACCATTATCACCACCATCATCACTGTCATCCCACCATCATCACTGTCATCACCACCATCATCACTATCACCACCATCATCACTGTCATCACCACCATCATCACTGTCATCACCACCATCATCACTGTCATCACCATCATCACTGTCATCACCACCATCATCATCACCACCATCACCAACATCACCACTATCACCACCATCATCACTGTCATCACCACCATCATCCCACCATCATCACCATCATCATCACCACCATCACCAACATCACCACCATCATCACCACCATCACCATCATCCCACCATCATCATCACCACCATCACCAACATCACCACTATCACCACCATCACCACCATCACCATCATTACCACCATCACCACCATCATCCCACCATCATCACCATCATCATCACCACCATCATCACCACCATCACCACCATCATCACCATCATCCCACCATCATCACTGTCATCCCACCATCATCATCATCACCATCATCACCATCATCCCACCATCATCCCCATCATCACCACCATCGCCACCATCACCACCATCATCAATGTCATCGCCATCACCATCACCGTCATCACCACTGTGGAGAGGAAAATTACGGTTGTCAAACGGAATCAACGTTAGGACCTGGCAGGTTTCTGAGCAGAAGACAGAACTGTGGACAGAAGTGACTGACTGGCCGAGGCCTCCTTCACCCCTTCACACACGTCCTGAGTGCCTTCTAAGGACCAGGGTCCACACCAGGCAATGGGGACTGTGGCAGGCCCGTCTCTCTTCTGCCCATGTCCCCTCACCCTTGCCACTCCAGTGCCCACCAGCCCAAGACCCACCAGCCAACACCTACACTTCCTCCCCAGAAAGCTCTTGCTGGCCTTCTGAGCCCATGCCTGGGAAATGTCAACCCCCCCGACCCCGCCACCCTGCATCCTCAACCACTGACCAACGGGACCAGGCAGACAAACACCACAGCTCCGTTCCTGCGGCGGTGCTGACCCTGCGGTTCCTCACTGTCCCCAGAGCGCCGAGCAGAACAAAGCTCCAGGTCCCCCCGGGCTCACTTGGTGGGCTGCCTCCCCTTCCGGCCTCACTCCCCAGCCCCCCGCCCCCATTACTCCCTGGGGTCACTTCCTACACAAACCACATGCATTCGGATTCTGGTCTCAGGATGTGCCTCTGGGGAACCCAGGCAAAGACGGGAATACAGAGACTGGGGTGCTCACAGAGGGGCCCAACAGACGAGGGCACGTGCAACCTGGCGTTGTGGGAACCCTGAGAGAAGGCCCTAACTCAGCCAGGAAGCGGCCAGTGACGACTTCCAGGGACAGACAGGGCCCGAGCTGAGTCTTAGAGAACGCGTCACAGTCACGCTCACGGAAAAGCAGAGAGGGGAGTGAAGCGGGGTCTGGGGTGACAGGAAACGGCAAGCTGTTGCGGGGAGGGGAAGCTGCGGCGTGAGGCGGAGAGGGGCAGGAGGGGCACGCAGGGGCAGGACCACGGGGTCTTCATAAGCCACGCCAGGGGCTCCAGGCTTCCCCCCGAGGATGACGTGGGTCCCCAAAGACCTTTCAGCAGGCAGTGTGGGGCGGAACCCGAATCAGGGTGTGGCAGGACTACGGCACTGGACACGCAGGTGGGCACTCGGTTACTCAGCTAGACAGCAGTGGTTCTGAACACCAGCTATTTGCTAGAATCTCCCAGGAAGCCTTTAAAAATGACTAATGACCCTGGCTGGCGTAGCTCAGTGGATTGAGCGCAGGCTGTGAACCAAAGCATCGCAGGTTTGATTCCCAGTCAGGGCACATGCCTGGGTTGCAGGCCACGGCCCCCAGCAACCACACATGGATGTTTCTCTCTCTCTCTCTCTCCCTCCCTTCTCTCTCTAAAAATAAATAAATAAAATCTTTAAAAAATTTTTTTAAATGACTAATGACGGGGCCCCTCAGGGGGCAGCCCAGGAAGAGTCTCTGCCTGGACACGAGCATCTGTCCACAGTGCCCTGGGGGACCCTGCCGTCCACCCAGGGTGGAGACCTGCTGAACTGGAGGATGATGAACTTCAACTTCACACCTGTCACCGATCAAGCGACCCTCCGGAAGAAGACACGCGTGGAGACTCACCTGGTGTCTGCTGAGCACGCTTCCCTTCAAACACCAATACCGCACCAGGAAGAAAAGGGTGACCCAGGTCAGCGCGAGGGAGACGACAAAGGCCACGAAGAACCCGGCGGCGTGAAGGCCGTGGTTTGGGAGAACCTATGGGAATAAAAGAGCGACAGGGATGCACCTGCGGCCACACCTCACACCTCTCAGGTGGAGTCGTAACTCACTGACGGCAGAGCAAGGGCAGCGTCAGCCGAAGGAGCTGGGTGCGGACCCAGTGTGCCACCTCCCGGCTGGTCCCCTGAAGAGAAATCCAATGTATCGTTGTTGTTGTTGTTGTTGTTGTTGTCGCCTGTGCTTTTGGTGTCACAGCCAAGAAGGCATCGCCAATCCCACGTCCAGAAGCTTTCCCTCTATGTTTGCTTCTGAGACTTTGATAGCTTCCGGTCTCGCATTTGCCGTTGATCATTTCGAGTTCGTTTCTGTGTGTGCTGCAAGGCGAGGCCCGGCCTCGTTCCCCTGCGGGTGGAGAGCCCCTTTCCCCAGCCCCGGGTGTTGAGATGACTGCTCTTCCACCATCGAGCGGTCCTGCCGCTCTTGCTGAAAATCATCTCACTGTTCACGTGAGGCTTTTCCCGGGCTTCTGACTCTGTCCCATTGGTCTGTGTCTGTCTGTACGCCAGGACCACGTGGTTTTGACGACTGTAGCTTTGCGGTGTGTTTGAAATCAGGAAGTGTGAGACCCCCCAGGTTTGTTCTTTTTTAGATTGTTTTGGCAATTTAGAGTTCCTTGAGAATCTATATGTATTTTAGGGTGGGTTTTTCTATTTCTACAGAAAGATGCCAGGGGGTTTTGACAGAAATCGCACAGAAGCTGTGGATCCCAACTCACGAGGTCTTCCGATCCGCGAACACGGACGACTCTCCATTCACGTGCGCCTTCTTCCCTCCCCGACCCGCCGTGCTCTGCGGTTTTCGGCGTGCAAGTCTTCCTCCTCTTGGTTAAGCCTATTCCTAAATACCTTACTCTTTCATGCTACAGGAAATGAAATTGTTTCCCTAACTTCCTTTCCGTATTGTTCACTGTTAGTGTATAGAAAAGCAACTCATTTTTGTGTTGAATTTTTAATAATATCAAAAATGCTTATATCCTAACGTGACACCTTTAAAGAATATACAAAACCGCATACACAATAAAGCCCCGGTTTCACTGAAGTTAAAATAATGCCCATGCGCATGCGCAGGCTCTGAAGACAGCCCTGCAGGGTGGGGCTGCGTGTGGTGACTGGCTGAGTTTTTTAAGTTTCTGTGTTTTCTACGGTCTCTCCGGTGGGCGTGTATTACCGGTATCATCAGGAGACCAAAATTACAATAATGAATATTCTCTTAGGGCTGAGTTTGGTAGGTGAGAAGATGCACCACCCAGCTCTCCCTTCAAGGACGGACTTGGTGCCCAGCTATGGCAGTGTGGTCAGCAGACCCGGGTTCAGGGTCTAGATCAGCCGCAGAGAGCCACCTCGCCTGAGGCCACGCCCTGCCCAGTAGCAGCATAGAAAGGGCCCAATGGCCAGTCAGTTCAGCCCTGTGAGGGCGGCCGGCCAGGCGACACTCACCCAGAGCTCCCTGCCGGGTGAGGGTGAGGCTCTGTTGGCCCAGGTCAGAGCTTGACTTCCTCCTCTGTCCAATTCTGCTTCCCTCTGTCCCCCCTGCTTCACACGGGACAGGCTTATTCCCCGAACAATGAACGTGAAATGCTGACGACTCACACGAAATGCTGTGACGCAGCAAAGCTCACCAGATTAGACTCAGGAAGGGCCGCTTAGACACCCACCGCCTGGCATGCACCAAAATTCCAGACTCCCAGAGGGAAAGCGGGCATTCGGCATAAACTATATCATTGATAAAAAAACAGCTGAGGCCCCCAGAGCCACTCGTCGGTGTGGGGGATGGTGGCAGCCCTCCTGAAGTCCGAGGTCCCAGATGGCAGCCCAGGGCCAACCCTGCAGGCTGGCCTCTCAGAGGGGAGCAGCCTCGGGCCTGCTGTGTGGGCTGGCCTCTGCCCAGACTCTGTCTCCGCATCTGCTCTGGGGGAACGAGCCAGGGGCACCCAGTTTAATCAAAAACGGCTCCAGGCAATGGGAATGTCAACTGCACCTTCGGAGCAGGAGGACAACGGACCCATCCCTCACCCCTGTGGTCACAATGCGGGCCGTAGTCAAGGTCAAGTTTTTCCGACAGACCGACAAGGCCCACCTGCCCTTCCAGACGATCACAGCCAAGTTAAGGCAGAAACAGGGGCTTTGGGCCAGAGGTTCACTGGACCCGGAATCGAGTGCGAGGCCACACGTGAGGCGTAAACACAGCGTGGTCTGTCTGTACGGTGGGACATTATGCAGCCATGAAAACCAAGGACGTGCTCGCACATGCGAGAACCCGGATGGACCGCGAGAACATTGGCTAAGCGAAAGAGGCCAGCCAGAAAAGGGCACGCGGTGCATGATTCTATCACCTGAAGTGTCCATGGCAGGCACGTGCATGGGGACAGAAAGCCGGTGAGTGGCCGCCAGGGGCTGGGGGAGGGGGAGGGAAGGAGGAGTGGAGTCCTGCTTGATGGGTACAGAGTTTCCATCTGGGGTGGTGAGAATGTTCTGGAACTAGACAGTGATGGTGGTTGCACAACCCCGTGTGCATGCACTAAATATCAACAATGCATAACTTTGTTATCTGCACCTCACCGCACGCACAAAACAGGTCCGACCTCAGTGCACTGCGGCGCCCAGAAACCAGGACCTGCGTCTGGGCTGCGGCTTCTCCCCCTGCTGCTGGACCCGGAGACGGACGCAGGTGAGAGGCATATTTAGGAGACAGAGCAGACGGGTGGGTGAGGCAAGAATGTCCCCGGATGTCTCCCTTGGGAGGTTGGGTGGCGGTGGCACCCATGACTGCAGTGACAAATAAAAACATCAGACCAGCTTAGAGCCGTGGAGATCAGCCCCGAGTTAATCATACCTTCGAGATTTCCCCTAAAAGTCTAGCAGCCACATTCCACGAATAATCACTGCAAGTACAGACCTCTAGGAGCCCCGTTACCTTGACCTTCACCATCTAAGAATACAGAGAAGGAAGTGGTTCAGGAACCGCCCTCCCTCCTCATCCCCCGGCCCTGGCTAGAAAAGGTCGGCTGTGACCACTGCTCCTTTAACCTCGCGCTGGCTGACGGCAGATCCCTTGCCGGTCCGCCACTGCGCTCCTGCAGCACGGTGCCGGACAGACAGACGGGCTTTCCGAAGGAATGCCTGCAGCCCTCAAAGTCCAACACCACGGACGGAAGCGTGAGGGAGGGCTGTTTACGCAGCTCGACTTCGATCACCTAACACATACAGACTCGTGGGAGCAAGACGCTAACGTGCTGGCAATGGGTCTCCCTGGCGGTGGGACGAGGGGGCGATGGCATGTTATTTGCCCGATTTCTCTCTCTTATCTCCCCTCCCCGCCCCCCCCTCAGCCCAGGTGTAGAGTCGATGTTTCGTCAAGATGTCCACGGTGGACACATGTTAAATCCCACCCATCCCCCGCTCAAAACCAGACAGAGTTTGAACAAGAGGGGAAAAGCACCCAGAATGATTTCTCTAGAAGAGGTTTCCGGAGTCACGGAGTCGGGACGCTTCACGCCGGGCTGAAGACCCAGGCCCGCAGAGGGTCAGGGACTCGGCGATGGCAGCCCCGCGGCCCCAGCAGAACGGCTCCGAGGGCCGAGACGCTGGTCTTCCCAGGTGACAGTTCTGGGGGGAGCGAGAGCCTGCAGGTACTCAGAGGTACAGCCACTCTCCCTCACTAACAAGCGGCTCATCGGGCGACCAGGTGGATCAGGGGCCAGCGCACACTGTGATGAGGGCCCTCAGCTTCAGGACCTCGGCCAGTTCCCGGAGCCTCTCCAGACCTGAGCTTCTCATTCTCACCTGAGGAAGTGAAACTAGATAATCTCTAAATCTCTTGTGTGGGGGCAGGGAGGGGGAGTCTATTTTGATGTCCACAAAAATGTATTACGTGCCAACCAAGAAAAGAAACTCCATGTCACAGAGAGATAAGGTTGACCAGCTGTCCCAGCGCCATCCGCTCCACCAGCTGGCCGGCCTGAGGCTCAGGAATTCATGCAGGAGATGCCGGTCAGGACTGCAGGGCGCCTGCGAGCTGCCCGAAGGACGGGCAGGCAAAGAGCAGCATGCGCAACGCCTGGGCCGTGTGGGAAATCGGCCCGGGGCACCGGGAGGCAGCAGCGGTCCACCGGCCCCAGGGATCCCCAGAACTAAGCTCCAGGCACTGGGCTTCGTCCGGCAGGCAGTGGGGGGCCCTCCAGAACGGAAAACCAGCAGGCCTGCCCTTTAGGAAGGTCACTGCAGCGGGCACCACGGGCCGCGGGGGAGCGGGACTGGACAGGTCGGAGGCAGGGGGGAGGCAGAGGGGTTGCACGGCGGCAGCCCTCCGAGTGCAACTCAGAGCCACGTGACCCTGCCCCCAGTGACCCGCTCCCTCCCGGGGCTGGAGCACACCCACCGCGACGCTTGTATCGGACAAAGAAATTCCCGGGCTACCCACAGCCACCCCTGGGGCCGCTCCTTTCCCGACTGACGGGAGCCTTTTCTCTGCTAAACACATCAACCCTTTTCTTATGCAGGTTACAAATGTTTTCCCGCGGGCCCCTTAACCCTTCTCCAGGCTATGTTTCAATGTCAAGTCTTCAAGGACGTGCGTGCCCAAGTCCACGGTTTTCCCTCACGGTTTTCCTCCACATCACAGAACGCTGACGCGCCCTTGCCTTTTGCAACTCGTGGTCTGCGGTTGGGTCTTGACCTGGTGAGGCCGCTCACCTTCAGTTTCCTTCCAGAGGTTCCAGTCAGTTGCCCCCAAGTTCACGGGCGACGTTCTTTCCCGCCGATTTGAAAGACCGCTGTGTTCCACACACAGCTGCAGATGCTCTGTTCTGTCCCGTCGGTCTGGCTTTTCCTCCAGGAGCCTTAACGTGGTGGCTTCAGAACTTTTCAGTATTTATAGGGACGTATCCTCCCACCTCCCTCTTCCTTGTTAATTGTTTCCACCCCGTTTCATAAACTGACATTTCCGGGTGAAGTTTGGTGGCTTTGACCACACACTCCCCCCCACACCAAACCCCACCGGGATTCTCAGTGGTAGCATCATGACTGCTTCCCAAGTCCCTCTGTGGCTTCAGGCCGGGGTCCCGTCTGCCCGGGTGTGTGGCACGGCGCCCAGCCCTTCCCGGGGCACCTGTAACGAACATAAAGCAGCAGTGACATCGGGCACAGTGGGAGCACCGGCACTCAGTGCCCAGCACCGTGTCACGTGACTTTCTCCTGTCAAAGCGGCTCTATTTGGGACAGGTCTGGTTCACCTTCGGGAAAGAGACGGGAACCGAAGGACACGACGCGGCCTCTTACAAGAGGTGCGGAATCCCAGCGCACGCGATGGGTCACTTGATGTCTTCACTGTATCTTCTAACGGCTTGATGCGAATGTCTGGGAGCCTCTGTCCTCGCTGCCGAGCCCCGCCCACTCATCACGGGCACCCCGCCCCTCCCCCCCACCGAGTGTGAGGGTGTCGTCTTTGCAGGCGCCCGCATCAAGCGCGATAGGACGCGTTCCCTGCGTGGTGAGGGTCTCGCCTCGCCCCACGTGTGTCTCACTGGTGCCTGGCACGGAGCTTGTGCCCTGGAGACCTCGGTTCCCACCCACCCACACGCTGGCGTGGCCGGGAGTCAGCCAACCAGCCAGCTACACGGTTTAGAACATCCCTCCTCTCTCGCTGACAAAATCCTTGCTTTACGGGTCCAGCCGAATGAATGAGTTCTTCCCTCCTCCGGGAGGCCGGCCGTGCAGCGAAGCCACGCAGTGCTTTTTCTCCCGGCAGCACCCGCAGTGCCCACGCTCTGCATTTCACAACCGCACGAACTCGCTCACGGCTGTGCGTCTCCTTAGCCCTTTTGTTCCGCGCTGAATGTCTCCGCGTGGGCGGAGGGATGGCGGGGCCATGGGCGATCGGAGTCCCCGGGCTGCCCAAGACTCCACGACTCCCCAGAGCCTCGCGGGGGCCTGATTCACACACGGACAGCACCCCCGTGGCCCCCGTGGGCATTTGCACTGGACACGCTGAGCCGTGCTATTCATGCGTGATTATCTTAGCATGCGTGCCGAGGGTGACGGCTGCCTGTGCAAGCGACAGTAACACCGGCGACGCCGCTGCGTGCTCACAAAGGCCAGCACGCGCTGAGGGCCGGGCACGCGTCCACACGCGCGCCGTATGAAATGGGTGTCGTTATCCTTCTCATTTCACAGCTGGAAGCGGAGGCCCAGGAAGGCAGCGACACGCACGAGTTCACGTACCGGCAGTGGGGGACAGGGGTTCAAAGCCAGGCCTTCGGGTGTGGGAGCGTGCTGTCCCCACAGTGCTGCGGGGCCACCACCTACGTAGGCTGTGTCTTCCCACTCGCAGCAGCCTGAGGCCACCTGGCTCCACCCGCTCGCTGCACTGCCGCACCTGCACCCGGGGGTCCACAGCCCGGGGGACACCCGCAGGCGCCGGTGGGCCAGAGGCTGCCCTGAGACCCAGTGGCTCATCTCCGCCCCCGGGAGACAGCCTGGGGCCTGGAGGGAGGCCCATAAATATTCATGAAACCAACGTCCTCTGACTTCCATTACAATCACACAACAACCTGCCACCTCCTCCCCTGAGAAGTAATCACCGCCGCTGAAGACAATCAGCTCAATCAGCAGATGTGCGCGTGTGGTGTGCCACCCGCAGGGCAAAGCACGGCGGGGGACACAAGGGCGAGACAGACGTGCCCGCCGCCGGAGCTCACAGACCAGCCAGGGGGCCTTCTGCACCTGCGTGGCCCCCCTCAGCCTCCCACGGCCACCCTCAGCTGTCACTGCTACCCCCCCACCTCCCCAGCCCCCAGGAATTCGGCTCGCCAGGAGGCCGTGTGGCCCACCCACCGCCCAGCAGCAGGGCTCTGGAGCCAAGGGCCGTGGGGGGTGGGGGGGGGTGCAGACCCTGGTCCGAACAGCACTGGCTGTGCCGAGATGCGCTCACCCAGGGGGCCCGAGGCTGCTCCCCCTCGCCCCCGGTGCACACGGCAGGCCTGCACCAGCGGCTCACAGCTCGGATCCAAGCGGGCGCCCACCACTCCCTGATGAGGGCGCTCACGGTGCTGGCTGCTGTACCAGTGGCTCAGTCTACACCCAGTGCCTGCTTTCCTTCTGAGGCCCGGAACCCTGGGACACATCACACACGGGGTGCCCACGGGCCCAGCCTCCAACACGCACCCTGGGTCCCCGACAAGCTCCCCTGGCGGACAACGCCCCACACGGCTGTCCAGCTCGGGGCTGGGCTGGAGGAAGTGAGGGTGTCCCGGGCCCTCCAGGCTCCACCCCCGTGCGTTTTCCCTGGGTGACCCTGCTTTGCATCCTCTCCCTGTGACGTCCCAGCCACGGGTGGGACTGCATGAGCCACCCATGAGTCCTCCCAGGGCGTCATGGGACCCTGATACACTAGCCATGTGACCTGGAGCAAACTACGTGACCTGGGTGTGCCTCGGTTTCCCCAGTGACGACTCGGGGGCTGCTTACACACAGAACCTACCTCCCACAGTTGTGCCGATGACAGGATTCACACATGCACACCACTCGGAAAGCCTGGCACACAGTAGGTGCTTAAGAAACGTGCAGTGTGGCCACGAGATAGGGGGACACCCAGTGACCCCATGAGGGAAGCAGGGTGTGCGTGAGCTGGGAGTGACCGAACTGATGAACGGAAATGGGGACGACGTGCCGACGGTGACAGCAAGGAGTGGGGGAACCGCCCCAGACGGCGGCGCGCAGGGAAGGTTCCGGAAGACAAAACACGGCCCCCAGCCGGCCGGGTCGCAAACGCTGCAGGGTGTGTGTGAGGTGGCAGGGCAGAGGCACAGAGGGAGGGGTCATGCCCGGAAACCGACCACACAGCCTCAGGACACAGCAGGGACCCCAGACCCCTGGAGCTCCCGGCCGGGTGTGGGCCGGCGGCCGCCCCCCCCCCCGGCTCTGAGAACGAGAGACCCTGCCCCACGGGCATCAAGGACACGTGGGCGTAAAGGGGTGTCCAGGTTGGACATTTTCTCTCACCTTTACCTTTTCTTCCACGGTGACAGTGAAAAGCGCTCTCAGCTGCGTTCTGTTCTAGAGAAACAAAAAAAAAGGCGTTCTGGTCAACAGGGCTTGGCATCTGGCAGGTGGGTAACGTTTGCTGTGTCCCCGCCCACTGTGCCTGGAGCTGCAAGGGGCCCGTGGCTGCTGGGGGCGGAGCTGGTGGGGTCTCAAAGTCCTACGGGGGGCGGGGGGAGAAGGTCGGAACTGCGCAGCCCCTTCTCCTCCAGAGGCCGTGTGAAGCCCTGACGGTTTTCCTAACGGAGCCCAGCACCGGCCACCCGCGCCCTGCAGGGACGCGCCCAGCGCTGCGGGGTGTGAGATGCCAGGGCCCGTGGGCTCATCCAGAGTTTGACATCACCGAAGGAGGAAGGAAGGGATGGAGGGAAGGAGTCCATGTTTCCAGAACAACCCCACTGGGCAGCGACAGGACAGAAATCAGTGTGACCAGGCCATACGCACCGGTGACGAGCTCTGGAAGGTGAGCTGGGCCGGCAGCGCCAGGACCTCCCCGTGCCCGATGTCTCCGGCCTCGAGCGAGGCGGTGTAGCTGACCGAGAAGGAGGTTCCCACTGCTCAGAGAGAAGACACAGGGGGGTCACGACGGGGCCCCTGCCACGCAGCCACCCCCGGTGACAGGTGACACCAACTGCCGCTCCGACACCTCCAGGCAGTGGGGTCTGTGTGCACGGCCAGTGGTACCAGGCAGGGACCTGGGGGGGGGCAGTGAAGGTCCCCCGGGGCTCACGGAGGGTCCCCAACCTCACGGCCTCTAGCTGGCCCTCAGCTGCTTCGTCACAGAAGTGAACTGTTCCCGCGGAAGGGAGCGCCCCCCCCCAGGAGACGGGTCCCGGGTCCGGGCCCCGAGCGCTGCGTGGGAGGGAGCTGCACGGAAACGCCGGCTCTTAGGAGGGGCAGGACGGGCGACACTGCAGCACTGCTTCCGGAGGGGAGACAGGGTGGACGGGAGACAGGGTGGACCAGGACCTTGCCACCAGGTGCGGCCACGGGTCGAGTCCACTGTGACCGCCGACAGACCCCTCCCACTGAGCTGGCTTCTCGGGGGGACCCTGGGCACCTCGCGGGGACCAAGGGCACTTCGTAAACTGAAGCCAAACGGAAGTCTCTGTCCTCCCTCTTTGTGGCAGCGGCCTCGGGGCCTCAGCCACAGCCTGGGGACGGGGACACGGCTGGTGGAGCCTGTCCAGGAACTGAGAGCAGCTCCTGTGTGGATCAGGTGATTGTGGGGCTGGGCTTGTGAGGGCCTTTTTTTAGGGAAAAAAAAAACCAGCTTTGAGATAAAGTTTGCAAACCATTGATTCACCTGTTTTAGTATACTTCCGGCTGTGTGGCCATCGTCACAGTCTAATTTGAGGACATGCCATCACCCTAAAAGAAAGCCTTGTGCCCAAAGACGGCCACTCCCACCGTCTCCTCCGCCCTCATGGCCAACCTACTCTCAGACACCAGTCTGCCGTTTTTGGTCAGCTCAGGGGAACGGAAGCGTCCGTGTGTGTCCCCGGAGCACGTTTTGGGGGGCATTCCTACATTGGAGCAGGGACCAGCATCTCACCCCTGTTCCGTGCCGAGTGATATCCCACTGTGTGCCCACTCCACACTCCCTCTGTGTCCCTGAGCCCTGTGGACTTGTAAACAGGGGGGCATGTGGAAACCAGACGTTCAACTAACTCAGCGTCTGAGACGAGGGTGCCGCGCCCCATCTGCAGTGGAGGGAAGCCCACCCCTCCCAGACCCCAGCAGCATGGGGGGGCCTGGACAGAACAGCATGTCGGGAAGCTGGTTTAAGGAATTCTAATTTGATTCCAGACTTCCGGACTTCGGACTTTTAAAAACTTACAAGGGCTAACATCCTGGTCTCAGATTTTGATTCCTTTTGGACTTGAGTCTGTTTGACTTTCAGTCTGTAGGAGGTTTGCTCCTGAGATTTTCATTTCTCCCTGAGAATCTGCCAAAGGGACGTGCTGGCAGGCCACTGTTGGGGCATTTTATGCAAAATAAACTCCAGGTCATCCTTTCATCGTATGGCAAGCCCATGACTCATAATACCTTGCTGAACAGCACGGCCGGACATGGTTCGCGTGGGCATTAGAACTGGGGAGCATTTCCAGCCGTGGGGAGGAATTGTTTCCGTAACGCACCCTCGGAACCGTTCCCAAAGGCTTTACGGGGGAGGGAACGAGGCCTCCTGTGTTCGCTGGCATTCCCCGAAGGGCACACGGGGCTGTGGGCAGGTGGGCTAGGGGAGTGGGGCCGTCTGGAGTCTGGACCGACGGCCCTTCCGCAGAGGACCAGCCACCACCCGCCCTGCAGATGAGCGAGAAGCCCGGGGGGACCAGAAGGACAGCCGACACAGCCCAGCAGGGGAGACGCACAGCCACACCCTGCCGTTTCCGTCCATGGGCATGGGCACCCGGCCGAATCTGGGGGGCTCCTCCCTGCTCTCTCTCCCTGGCCAGGGCACCTCCTCGGACTGGTAAGTTCGGGGTGCATCGCCAGGGAGCCCCTCTTACTTGGGAGAGTGGGTTCCAGCAGGAAGCAAGACGGCTCAGCTCCTGCCAGATGGGTGGCACCAGCCCCCAAAGCGGGGGGAGCGGGGGGTCAGGGTGACAGAGCCCACCCAGCTCTGCGGGAGGGTCAGCGAGCCATCGGGTCTGACCGACGCCTGTCCTCCCACCTCGCCCTCGCCCCAGCATGCTCTGCTGCGCCCCATCTCTCCACGTGTTTGGACCGCTCTCCAGCACAGCCCGGGCCGGGCTCTGCGTTTTCCTGAGAGACGGCAACTCTGGTCACGTGGGTGATGCCATCCTGGGGTTCACTGCAAACTCTGTCTTTGCTTCCGTTTGAAACGTTTCATAATAAAAGTCGAGTATCTGTAATTGGTTAAAACTCTCCCCTCAAATCCCACCCTTCTGTAATTTCAGTAGCAGATCCAGGTTGCCGGAGGCAGCTGTCGGGAGGCGGTCCCCTCCTCGGACGCCCACCCCCCCCCGGGAACCCGTGTGAGCACCAGCTGAGTGAACGCACGGAACGGGGCGCGTGCCCTGGGAGTGTGCGTGTCCCCGACTCGCCGCGCCCAGCCCTCACCTGCCAGGAACTTCCTCGCGAAGGCCTGGAACCCAGCCGCGGTCCTGTTTCCAGGCGACTCCCTGACGGCGAGGCCGGTGACGTTGTCGAGCAGGAGCAGGTCTGAGAGGTCGGCCGCCGCCGGCGCCGGGGTGTTGTTCACCAGCAGGCGCACCTGCGCCGTCTGCGCCACGCTCGGCCCCAACACCTGGGCGGGGGTGAAACGGGGGCACAGTCAACGAGCCGTGCAGCTCCCTGAAACGACGCTGCGGCCCGACGTGTACGCGGCAGGTGTCCGTGTGCAGGCGTGTACCCAGACGTGTGGGGAGGGCACACGCACGTGCACACACACTCATCCTTGCACGTGCGTGGTGGGAAACGTCCCTGGGAGGACCAGGGAGGGCATGACGGTCCCCCAGAGGCTCTGAGAACTCATCAGGTCGGACTCCCCAGGCCCCAGGAGAGTCCGACGCCAGCCCAGCTGCTGCCTGGCGACAGTTTCCACGTCGCTGGGGCCCGAGATGCAGTGAGACCGCTCCCACAGAGAAACTCAGCAGATGAGCCATCCGAGCACAGAACCCACGTCAGGCTGGGGAGACCGTGGCAAGTGGCGTCACCGAGAAAAGCAAACGGAGGTTCTCTCTCGGTCCCTCGTTTTGACGATTTGGCCCCAGAGCCGTGCCCGGGCCCCGGGCTGCCGTCTGGTCTCCGGGCTCCCCCGAGCTGACCTCCTGCCTGCAGGCCTGCCCCTCCGGCCCGGCCACGTCTGGCCAGTGCAGCCGTTGGGAGCCACCCAGTGGCCCACCAGCTCGCCCCACCCAGCCCCTGCACCCCTGCCCCGTTCCCCTCTCCAACTCGGCTGCCACCAGCCCGGCCCCTGCACCACCCAGCTCTGCTGAATGAGATGCTGGAGCTGGAGGGAGGGGGGTGCCATGCATGTCCCGGGAGAAGTGACTGTGGGACACCAGTATGGAAAGCGGGTTGCAGAACTCTGGGTCCAGGGCCCCATGACCAACATAAAGGTGCAGAGGAAGGCACGCGTACAGACACGTGCAAGTGCACACACACACACACGTGACTGCAGGCACCTGGCAGGACACACCTCCGGAGGGACACAGAGGAAGCTGGAGCACTCGGCGCGCCCAGGAAGGGGAGCAAGGCGCCTGAGGGCCTGGGGGAAGATGAGGGCCGGGCAGTAACGGGGTCCCTCGGCAGGCGGGGGCCGCCCACGCCCTGCACGCTCCAGGGAAAGGACTGGCCCCGGACCAGCTCCTGGGAGCCTGACCCCTGAAGCCCCGAACACCCTGCTCGGTAAGACCGTCTTCATACACCGGGGGCCTTGGGCGGGGCTGGGGCAGGGTGGCCTCCGGGGGGCTGGGGACTGAGGGCGGTACCACAGGGGCTCGGAGCCTACGTGACCCACCTGCTGTGAAACCCCTGCACCCCAAGGCTGGGCCAGCGGCCCTGGGCGATGTTACACATCACAGCCGGGGACGTTAAATGCCGTCCGGACGACTGCACCGGCAGAGGACAGCCGGCGGCGGTCCCCCTGGAACTCTGCTGTCCTCTGCTGGCGCCGACCCGCACCCTTCTGCTGCGATAAACGGTACCCAGAGCCCGACAGCTTGGCTGAGGCCCGCGAGTCCTTCTAGGGAGTGACGGACCCTGAGGCTGGTCTCGGGGACCCACCACACGGACAACGTGATAAGCCATCTCACGGGACGGAAGACCTATGGGACCTTAAGTAACTTTTTGAGCAGTCAAGTACCATATCGATGCCAAAGCCTATTCTAAGTGGCCGCAGCGGGTTTTCACTGACAACAACCTAACCGCCACCAGCAATCTCAGCCCTGGTCAAGGAATAAATCCCCTGCAGGTCACCGCACCGCTCTCGTGTCCGGACGTGGGTAGGTGGCCCTGTGCTGCGCCGGCTCTTACACACCAAACCTCCCTGATAAAGGCTGTGGGTGAGATCCAACTACCGCCCCCTCAAGCGCGGGCCACCCGGGGCACTCACCACGGCACACTTCTGAAAAATGACTCCGTTCTCGGGAGTTCCCTGAACGTCTCTTGAAATGTCTCCATGCTACAATAAAACATAGAAACGATTAGAAAACAAAAACATTTCCTGCTATACACATTTCATAAAAGTTCAAGATGAACTTTTAAGGGGGGTAAAGAGTTACTTTGGCCAGTCTAGTAACTGCCATAAGCAATCTTGAAGGTCTCTTTAAGACGATTAAAGGGTTGGCACTTAAAACCTACGAGGACAGAAAAACATGGATGTGTTTGGGGCGTTTTCCGGGTCTGGGGCGCACACACAGCACCTGTGGTCGCAGGGATGCAGCTAACCAGACCCGACACTTCGGCAAGAGCCAGTGAGCAGAGGTGAGGACAAACTCCTTAGTGACCGCGCCACGGAGGGGGCACACCAGCCACATAGCAGCTGGCAGAGGGACCCCTGCCTTCCGGAGCAGCCGCCGGTGAGCTGGATCCAACACCCCACCGAGAAGCCACCACTGTCGGCCTGCTCCAGGCCCCAGCGGCTCCCCTGGGAAAAATCCCAGTGGAAAGCCAGGGCTCCAAGTAGGGGGCTGAGGGAAACCCAGAGCGAACGGTCACGGTCCCCAAAGGCCAGAGGTAAAGGGGTGGGGACTGAACCCAGGGGCGGGGTGGGGGCGAGGAGGGGCAGACAGCGGAGCTGACCTGGAGCAAAGGGCAGTAGGCCTGGTGACCTGTTTGGGGAGAAGGGGGCGCCAGGGCTCCGCGCCTTCCCCGGACTGGGACCGCAGAGGGAGGGGCAGGGTGAAGGGGGCGTGGCTAAACCCATCAGCCCGCAGGGTGCGGTCAGGTACAGCCCCAGCCAGCGATCCCGGCCAGAGCCGTTACTCTCCGGCACGTCCTACACCGTTACTCTCCCGCGGGGCGCTCCCCTCCGCAACGCGCTCTGCGACCGCGAACTCGCCAAACCCCGACATCCACCCTTCGGGGCAGACGCTGCCGCGGGCGCTTACAGAGCGGGAAACGCGGGCGCAAGAAGGGAAGCGACTGGCCCTCCGCCCGAGGAGCTTTCAGGTACCCCCACCCCCACACACACACACTCCCCGCAGCCACCTCGCGGCTGTCCCCACCTTTCCGGAGAGTTCTCAGCGGTAAGAGGCTTGCACTAAGGAACACCGCGCGGCGCCCACCCTTTCTGATAAGTTCCCCAACTCCACGGAGCACCCCGCCGCGGGTGGAGACCGAGCCGAGCCGCCCGAGTCAGAGCGGAGACTGGGGGCCGGACCTCCTTACCTGCGCGGCGCGCTCGGGCCCCGCCCCGGGGGCTTCGGGGCGATCCCGGGGCGCCTGCGCGCCCTGGGGACGCTGGAGAGGACTCGGGCCCACGGGGAGCCAGCCTCGGCCCCGGGACCCGGCGGGCAGCGCCAGGGCGGCGGCGAGGAGGCCCCCAGCCAGCACCCAAGCAGCGCGCCCCGGGGCGGCCGCCGAGCCCATCGCGTGCCCGGGCCAGAAACCCCACAGTTGCGGGCGCCCCGGAGTTGCTCCCGCTTCCGGGCCCCGGACCCGCCCCGCCGCCGAGCATGCCCAGTGCGAGCCGCCGCGGAAAGTTTTCTGGAAGACCTCCCGCGACTGGGGCTTGGCGAGCCGGGCCGAGGCCCAGGACGGCAGTGGGAGGAAGCGAGCCACCCGGGCCTCGGCAGTACCCACAACAGATCCGGCGGCTCTCCTGCCTCCAAAGATCCCGGGGGCTCCAAGTGCCCCTCCACTAACGCCTGCGTTCTCTAACTCTTAGCGGAGACCACCTTCTCCAAAAAACCTTCCCTGACATCCACCGAGTGGAAACCCGAGTCTGCCCCCAGCCCCCCAGCTCCCTAACAGAGAAGCATTCGGAGAGGCAAGGCCATGTGTCCCGTGTGTCCCGGGGGCCCAGAGCGGGCAGGACGGCACAGGCAGGGGCTGGGGGGTGGGGGGGAGACTGGCAGCTCAGGGGCAGAGAGAGGACAAAATGACTCTCCTTTCTGGATGGGCTCAGTTCAGCCCAGTTGGGCACCAGTGGGGCAGGCAGTCAGGCCAGCCTGCAGGGTCTCCTGTGAGCCAGAGAGAGGGGCGTTAGTGTCCGGAGCCAGGAGGCGGCCCCTGAGCAGAGCCCCCTGCTACTCCAGGGTCCCTAGGCGACTGTTTCCACGTGTTCGGGGGAGGGGCTCCCCTCCTGCAGCCTCCCTGCAGGGCAGCCGGTCAGGTCTGCAGCCTGGGGCCCGGAAGCCAGGCAGCTGCCAGCTCCTCTTCGGCCTTGACCTGGCCGGACAGACACGGGCGCTCACCCATCTGTCCCATTTTCCGGAGGCAACACCTCGGGCGAGCCCCCTTTCCTCTCGGGCTGTGGGTTTCTTCATCTATAAAAGCTAAATCTGGGTGGTGGTTCCCATCTGGCCCACCCGGAAGGGTAGACGGGGAAATGATGAAAAAAAAAACAAACCAGAAACTCGAGCTGTGCGTCTGGGTTAAGAACACAAACACCACTCATCCTCTGTTGAAGCAGATCCCCGAGGTTCCCCGCCCCCCACAGGGAACTGATCTCGGACGCATGCGCGTCTGCTGCTATACCCCCAGCACCCAGGGCAAGAGCTGGCATCTAGTAGTTGCTCAGTAAGTGTTTGCTGGAAGGAGAACAGATGCTGACCTCACCTCGTTGTGTGTCTCCCCACGCAGCTCTGAGACCCTCCCAGCCTGGGCCTCGTCCGGTTCCTGGCCGGCCCAGCGCTGGTTGGATCCGCGCCGTCTCCGTAACCCGTCACTGAGGGAGTGATTTACTACACAGCGTGGGGTTTCTGCTGGGGGCTGGTGCAACAGTCTTTCTGCACACTGCCTCAGAGGAAGGTATTGACCATGGCGAAGAAAGGCATTAAGACAGACTCTTAAGAAAAGTTCGGAGGCACGATGGGTGGAGGCTGGAGTGGGACCTGCGCTGAGCCCCTTGGACCTGAGCTTCCTCATCGCCAGGATGGGGGATGGCCGGAACCACCTCGGAGGGCTGCTGAGAAAGCTGCCAAGACCGTCAGGTTAAATGCCTGGCACATCGGAAGCGCTCCGTAACTCTATCTGAGCAGCGCCCTGCTTGTTTGCATGGGGATTCCTTCTCCGCTGGAGGTCCAGAGGCCCAGGGAAAACCAAGGATTCTCCGAAAAGTTCTGCTCGCTGAAAAGCGCGCCTCCCGCCGGGCATGCTCAGTGCAAAGGCCAGGCTGGGGCGGGGCGGGGGGGGGGCTCAAAGTTTTGGGCGGAAGATCCAGGCTCCTCCCTCCGGCTCGGGCAGAGCGGGGACCCGGGAGAGGCAAGGAAGGAAGGAGGCGGCAGAAGCCGGAGAGTCGTCGGCGGAGCGCGCTGCGCCCCTGGCCCGCCTGGGCTCCGAGTCCTGCGTCGCCGACTGGGCAGGGACGGCGCTCAGGGCCGCTGGCCGAGGCGGTGGGAGGCGGCGGACGCGATGCGGCCGGGATGCGGCTGGGCCGCGGCCTGAGCGACCCCGATGGCCCGCGGCGGAGAGGCCTGCGGGAGCGAGGCGCGGCTGCTGCTGGGCCGGGACGCGGTACGGCCGGCGCCCGCGCTGCTGGTCCCCGCGGTGCTGCTGGGCGCCGCGCTCGGCCTGGGCCTCGGCCTGTGGCTCGGCTGCCGCGCCATCCGCCGGCGGCTACGACAACAGGTGGGTCGGCGGAGAGGGCAGCTGGAGTGTGGGGCGCACGGGGAGCCGTCTTCCTCCGCCCCCAGGGTCGGACTGCAGGCCCGGGCTCCACTTCCACTGGAGCGTGATCTCGGGCTTCGCGCCCACCTGGTGCTGCCCGGGGCTCCCCTTCTGCCGCGGGAGGAGGCTGGACACAGTGTTTCCAGAGGGAAGCGGCGCAGGGTCAGAAGGGCGCTGTCCCCAGAGATGCCTCCATCCGACGCCGCTGTGTGATGTCGAGAGCCGCCAAAGCTCTCTCGGCCTCAGTCTCCCCATCTGTAGCCCTGGGGGTCTGGACTGGAAGCTGGCGGGGACCCAGCTCAGCGCAGTGGCCGAAGGCTGGGGATCCCCTCCCCTGGGTGCCCATTCTGCTTCCTGGCTCCTTGTTTTACCTTGTTGGCTCTTCTGAGTCCCAGCTACTTCGATAGAATGCATTCACGCCTCCCTCCATTCATGCATCCTCCCTTCCTTCATTCATTCACCCCTACCGTGAAAGTTTGCTGGGCATCTTTCTGCCGCCAGCTCCCCGGTCCAGGGATCTTAGGGGCCACTTCAGTGAGCAGACTAGACCTTGCCCTGACCGCTGGAGGCGGGCAGCCGCCGGGAGACAGGTTACAAGGCAACGTGTGCTGATGACACAGCCTCACGAGTCCTGTGAGGGGAACCAGTGCTGGGTGCTGGCTGTGGTCTCTCCTGTCCTCAGAAGGTCCTGTGTCTTTACCACCTGTTTTAACCTGGTGAGTGTCACCTGGGCTGGCCAATAAGTTCGTTCCATTTTCCCCCCATGATGGCGCTCGTAGCACTTAGTTGTCTTTAACTTCCTTTGAAACAATTTTGTTGCATTGTATTGGGACAACTGTGCTATCAGCATGCATTTAAAAAAAAAACTTATCAAAATTAGTGAATTTTGTGTAACCATTTTAATATTGAAGGTGGCAGGAAATATGGAACATTTTTGGCATCTTGTGCTTTATTATTTCAAGAAAGGTAAAAACACAGCTGAAATGCAAAAACAAAAAGAGACATGTGCAGTGTGCGGAGAAGGTGTTGTGACTGATCAGACGTGTCAGCAGTGGTGTGCGAAGTTCCACACCAGAGATTTCCCTCTGGACACTGCTCCACGGTCAGGCAGACCAGTCAAAGTTGACAGCGATCAAATCGACACATTAATCGAGAACAATCAACAGTATACCACACGGGAGAGAGCCGACACACTCGAAACACCCAAATCAGTAAAGTTATGGGTGAAAATGAAAAATGTGTCTTTTAGTTTATGGGAAAAACCATACGATTTTTTTGGCCAACCCAATATCGTATCTCTCTGAGGGTTCTATAATTCTTCAAGTTCCTCCCCCCCCCGCCCCCACACTTGCCTTTTCCTCTTCTTTGTTTTGTGTTTGTCTTCCGTATTAGTCTGTGATCACAGGGCTGGTGACTCTTGGCCTCCCGATCATTTTTAAAGGGGGAGCCAAAAAACAAAACAAAACAGATGACAGTTTTCTCCTGGAGCCTTCACTGTAGGACACCCCGACGGGGCCTCCCCGGCAGAACCTGGTGCTAGGCAGCCGTGAGTGCTGGACAAACAGCCCCCGAGTCTCCGGCTCCGTCGCCGACCCCGCTCCCCACCCCCAGAGTGCTCCAGCCACAGGCTTTCCCGGGCAGGCGGAGCGTGCTGCCGCCCCGGGGCCTTTGCACGGGCTCTGCACTCTCCCTGCAAGGCTTGTCCCCAGACCTCTGGCTGGCCTGCTCTCCCTCACTCCCTTCGAGCTCTGTCTCCAATGCCGCCCGGCCCAAGAAGACGTTCCCTCCCGTTACTCCGCGTTCCCCCACCCGCTGTTTCTCCGCAGCATCTGTCGCCTCTGACACGCGACCTGTTCATCTCTTTGCCTGCCTCTCTCTCCTGTCGCTGGAACGCGAGGCCCACGGAGGCAGGGGCTGGGCGTGTTTTGTCCCGCGCTCCGTCCCCGGTGACGAGGGCAAGGCTCACGCTTCGCAGGTGCTCCGGGACTAACTCCCGGGCAAACACGTCCTCAGTCCCAAGGTTATACCCACGAGCGGCCGGCGGTGCAGAGCGGCTCCAGAAGTGTGTCTGGCACAATAGGGTTCCCGACCAGGGTCCCAGGGGCTCCGGCCGACTGACGTCAGCGTGTCCCCCACCTTTGGATTTCAGGTGGACGACCCTCGAAGTCTGCTCAAGAACCTGGAGTCTAATGCACAGGCCTCCTCGGAAACCGGCTCCCCGGCCAGGAGGAGGAGGAGGAGAGGAGCTCGGACCTCGCAGGAGGCGGAGGCTCTGGACGTAAGTGGGGTGTCCTCTGTCCCACCTGGCAGCCAGGTGTCACCCAGACGAGCCTGTGACAGAGCTTAGGTCCCAGTCGGCTTCCTTTTCGAGGCATAATTCACCTTCAATAAAATGCCCGGGTTTTACGTGTGCATTTTGATGAGTGACACGTGTACACGCCCTTGAAACCGATACCCCGGTCAGGAGTGATCTGTCACCCTGGAAAGTGCTCCGGGGCACAGGGGCCCCTTTCTGGCTTACCCCCCACCCCAAGCCCCTTCCCAAGGCAGCCACTGCCCTCTGGCACTGGGACTGGTTTGCGGGTTCTCGACTTCTACACCTGCTTTCTGGTGCCTGCGTCCCCTCAGCGTCTTGCTTTTGCCATCTGTGACCCGGCACGGGTCAGTAATCGGCCTTTAGTCACTGGGTACTTCATGGGGACGTGCCCCTGAGTGCTGTGTCGGAGTTCGGCTGCTCTGAATAGGGCTGCGGTGAACACCTATACGTTTGTTGGTGTGTTTGCTTTCGTTGTGTTTTATTTCTTTTAAGTAACTATCTCGGAGTAGGAGCCTCGAGCCTCCGACACAATGTTGAAAGATGGATTCTCGCCCTGGCCGGTGGCTCAGGTGGTTGGAGCGCCGTCCCGGACGGCAGGGGGCGGCGGGTTTGATTCCTGGTCGGGGCGTGCACCTAGGTGTCGGGTTCGACCCCCTGTCGGGGTCATGTGGGAGGCAACCTGTTGACATTTCTCTCTCCCTTCGATGTTTCTCTCTCTCTCTTTCCCTTCCTCTGTCTCTGAAACCAATAAAACATACCCCTGGGTGAGGGTAAAAAAAAAGATGGGGTCTCCCTGTCCCTCCGCCCTGGCCCCAGCTCTGTCCAGCCCGGGCCTGCCCGTGGGGCATCGCTTTCTGCTTTGGATGCTGGAACCCAGTCCCGGCTCTGCCGCCTGTTTGCTGTGTGACGTTGGGCCAGAGACGTGACCTCTCTGAGCCTCTGGTTTCTCGGCCTTATGATGATGACAGCAGTGAGCCGGCTGCTCGGGGTCACCACCAGGGGGCACTGTGAGCATTCCTGCCGCAGAGTAAGCGCTGGGTCACCCCATAAGGGAGCCGAGTCTCTCCACCTCCCCAGGAGGCTAGCTCATTTTTCCTGCGCGGGGATGTTTTCCCTGTTCACGGTGTAGCCCCGCCCAGCTAGGCCCATGACCGGGCTAATGATTGCCAAGGGTTCAGTGAGAGGTCTGCCCGTTCCAGTGGCCGGCTTGCCCCGTGGCCCCGCCTCGTGCAGACGGAGCTGGTCAGGGATTGCGCTCGGGGCCGATTTTGAGGGGGGCGTTGAGCCGTGACCCCCGTGTCCGCCAACCCACAGAAAACCCGGGCACGTGTGCTTCAAGCCACTCTTTGAGCGAGCTCTGTTTTGATAAATAGCTCACGTCAGCCAAAAAGAAACAGAACATTCCGGAAGGCTCTGGAGCCTGCGCAGCCTTGGCCTGTGCGCTCCATGACGGTCCCAGGTGTCGCAGACGGAGAGGGTGCTGCGCGAGCTTCACGGGCGCAGGTGTGCGCGTGCTGAGAGGAGCCCCGCTACGTCGGTGTGCAAAGTGGCCCCTCTCCTCCTACCATTGTGCTTTAACCAGTTTTCGGAATAATTGCCCTGGGTAACCTGAAGAAGCAGCACGCTGAAATACACGTTGGTCCAATTTCCTCAGCGGCTGTAGGGCTGCGGCCGGGGTGGCGGTCAGGACTGGGAGGAGCCCGGGACGGAAGGACAGCAGCAAAAACCACGCACCTCAGGCCGTTCGGGCGGAGGAGCCTGGGTCCGTGTGCTGGGCGCTTCTGGGTCCGAGTCCGCTCACGAGTGCTGTGACATCGCCGGGGCTGCCCCAGGGTGGGGTGGGGGTGGCACGCTTCAGGCAGACGGTGGGAAAGGCCAGGCAGCCCCAGGCTTCCCACCTGGCTGGGGTGTGTGCCTCCTGGCAGGGGCGTGGCAGGGGCGGGCCACAGCTGGGCTCAGTGCTGCCCTGCACGGGCCCTGGCACCCCTGTCCCGGCCTCACATCCACAGGTGCCAGGTGGCCCCTACACCCCAGCCTCTACACCCTGTCCTCCTCGGTCACGGTTCTCACGAGAAATGCACTTCTGTTCTGTGTCTCCCCTGTTGAAGGGGAGCTCCAGGCCGAGGGCTCATGCCTTTGTCTCGCTGGCACGCCTTCCACTAGGCCCTTCCTTTCCCCTTCCGGTGAGGAGTCTGCAAAACCGCCACGCCCTTCTGCCTCCGAGTCGTTTCCCGGGGTCGGTGCGTCTCTGCTCTGACATCCCCAGGGCCGGCGTGGTGGGTGTGCGACCCGTGAAGTCACGTAGGCCGGGTCCCGCCTCCCCAGACTCTGCTGCCTGGAAATTCTTCATCTTTTTTGCACAGGCCCCCACACTCACTTTGTACGGGGCCGCACCACTGTGTCACCAGGTCCGACGACAGCCTTCTCGCCTCTGCCACCCCCCGCTTTTGTACTGAGATGGGTCAAGCAGCGGGTGGTGAGGCCAGGGGCAGGGGGCAGGGGCTGGGGGGCCTCCCCCAGGAGAACCGCAGGGGCCCGTGTGCCGGCGGGTCAGGCACTGGCTCGACCCTTCATGTTATGAGAAAGTAAAACATCTCCTGTACTTTTCGCCCATGGGCACGGAGCTCTGTCTTCAAGGTCTGGCTGAAACCTTGGGGAGCCAGGAGGGCTGTGAGCTGCATAGCGATGGGAACCGCATGTTTAAAAGGTCATTTGATTGCCATGTGGAGGATGAAGTGGAAGCTGTCGACCCCTAAGCCTTGGTGGGCCCCTGTGGAGCCAGGGAACCTGAGTTCGAATCCTGGTTCTGGCATTTGTGAGCTGTGTGACCTTGGGCACATAGCTTAACCTCTCTGTGTCTCCCCTGTGCTGTGTGAGAAGCAGAAGCTTGAGGAGATGGCACACGTTGGTGGTCTTTCCCCTTCTTGTCACCTACGTCTGCTTTGGTGAGTCCTAAGAGACCGGCAGAAACGACGAGACCCAGGTCCGGCCCCTCCCTGCCCTGCTTCGTAGGGCATCATGGGAAACCCTCGCTGGAGAACCGCAGGGGCCCGTGTGCCGGCGGGTCAGGCGCTGGCTCGACCCTTCATGTTATGAGAAAGTAAAACATCTCCTGTACTTTTCGCCCATGGGCACGGAGCTCTGTCTTCAAGGTCTGGCTGAAACGCGTGGGCGTAGAAGTGGAGGCTGCTGGGTAGAGAGAGGTGCTCGGGGTCTGGGCACCAGGCTGCGGGCTCACCTGCCTGCTCACCTTCGGGCACTTGCTGTCGGTTTCCAAAGCCTTCACTCAGCGCCAACTTTGCCGGGTGCAGGGCGGTGCCCCCTGCAGGGGAGAGACGCAGAGAGGCGTGCGGAAGGGGAGCGGGCTGCGGACTGGGCGTGCAGCTGCAGTCAGGACGGCTGCCCGGGGAGGTGGTGCCTGAGCTGGGCCTCCCGGGCCCCTCACCTGTACTCACAGCTGCCACGGTTTCGCTCCTGTGGGTCCCCACCACTCTGCTGGGTGCCCTGCGCGCTCGGTCCTGGGGGCAGATCCACCCCCGGTGCTGTCCGCGATCCAGGCCTGGGTCCAGAGAAGGGGCCGGGCTGTCCATCCACGGCTCGTGGTCGAAGGGTCTCATCCAAAGTCTTGCGTGAGCATCACTGCATCTAGGTGTTTATACCGCTTGGCAGTGTGAGCGGCCCCGAGCACATCTCTTGACTTTTCCACTCAAAGAGGTAGTTTTTAAGAACAGTCTTGTTAATTACTGTCACGTTATTTAAACCCTGATTTCTTTCAAAGGTAAAGACTTGGAATTAAACGAATGTGTTGTTTAATGTCTGCTTGTTCATTCATCCATCTGTGGGTACACCCGTTCCTCCCCCATCCGTCCACCTGCCCTTCCATCTGTTCATATCCATCTGTCCATGCACCCATCCCCCATTTGTCCATCCATCTGTCTGTCCATCATTCATCCGTCCGTCCATCATCCATGCATCCATGCATCCATGCATCCATCTGTCCACTCATTCATTCACCCACCCATCTACCTTTCCAGCTGTCTGCACATCCCTCTGTCCACCCATCTGTCCGTCCATCCATCCATCCATTCACCTGTCCGTCCATTTATCCATCTATCTATCTGTCCATCCATCCATCCACCTGTTCATCCATCCATCGCCCATCCTTTTACCAAGCGAGCACGTACCTGGATCTGTGCATGCCTGCCGTGGTCCCTCTCCGAGGCCACTCTTACAGATAGGGTGCGGCATCTTGGGGACTCTCGGTGGTTTCTCCTGCGTCCTGCAGAAAGCGCTCCCCCCCATGCCATCTGTTCTGCTTCCTTCCCAGGAGCACGAGCCGTCCGTCAACAGCAACGTCACAGCGTTTGCCCTGAAGGCCAGAGTCGTCTATCCCATCAACCAGAAGTTCCGGGTGAGAGTCCCAAGCTCCGTCCTGGAAACGCGACTGTTCGGTCACGGACTAGAGACCGGGGCAGGGGCAGTGGGGTCGAGCGTGCCGTTCCGGGCTCTCGTGGAGGGTTGGGTGGCAGCGCATGTGGAGAGGGGTGAAGGTGGCGAGGCTCCAAAACGGAGCAGCACGTCAGGGCAGGACCCCCTCCCCTGCCCCCCGCCAATGACAGCGTCCCCTGGCATCTGGAGGCCAGGAGCTGCCATCGCCCGTTGTGTCCGCAGGGACACAGGTGACAGCACAGGGGGGAGGCCCCACCCTGCCCACTTACCACTGATGCAAACACGGGTTCGGACAGAATCCCAGCGTCTCGGTCACCGTCCCTGGGCCCAATGCCAGTGGCTGGCACACACTAAACACTCTCTGTAGGGCCGGCAGAGGGCTGCACATTTGTCCGCATCGGGCGTTTCAGCCTTGCACCTCCTCTGTAAGACAGATACCACTGTCAGCTCCACCTTGCACACGAGGGCGCGGAGGCCCAGAGAGGCCCGCGGCCTGTCCGACGTCACACTGCAGGAGGTAGCCGGCCCAGGCCACCTCTCCTCCCACCAGCCTGGCGGCAGGTCTCGTGCCTGGAGGCAGGAGCTCGTGCCGGCGGCCGGGGTGGCCGGGAGTCTTGCCCGGAGCGGCGTACCCCAGGCTGCCGGGGAGCCCTCGGCGGGTGAGATGCCTGTGACATAAGTTCCTGGTCAGGCCAGCTGGGGAGAATGCTGCCTGCTGTCCGGGCAGGGAAGAGGACTGTCTCTGGAGTCACGCTGAGGTCACTCGAACTCCGCCGTGACTCCCAGCCCGGCCACGTCGTGGCGTCTGGGGCCTCGGTTCCTTCCCCTGCCAAATGGGAAGAATGGCCCTCCCGCCCCCTGTGGTTCTGAGGGTGGAATCGGACAGCAGGCGTACGGGCCCCGCGTGGCGCCTGGCCTCCGTGCTCTCAGTGCAGGCTCGGCTTTCCGCGTTACCACTTCCTGCGGAGACGGCCAGGTGTCAGGGCTCTGAGAACTCCCGCCCGGGACTTTCCCGGGTTCAGCTTTCTTGGGGACCCTCGCAGTGAGCAGGGGGCACGGTTCACGGAACTGGACCCCGGAACACACACAGGGGGCCACTTCGTTCCCTTGGCTCTCCGGGGAGCGGGGAGGGGGGTGGGGGGCAGACTCCCGGGGCAGAGGGGCATCTCTCCACCCTCAACACCCGCCGCTGGGCAGCCTCTGCAGGGGGTGACCCAGGGTCAGGGGAGCATCGTCCCCCCCGCCCAGAGGCTGTCCCAGGCTGGGTGGGGGACAGCGTGTGGGGTCAGGCCAGACGGAAGGGACCGGGGGCCTGTGGACCCTGGCAAGGGCTGCTGTCAGAGAAGCTGGGCTCGGGAGGGGCTGCTTCAGCCTGGGGTCAGCTGGGGGTCAGCCTGGGCACAGACTCCTGCTCAGGCTGTGCCAAGCTGCGACCTTTTGTGGTCACGGCAGGAACTGCATTTGTTTGACGAGGAGCTTCAAGCTGATCCGAGGGCGGTGGGGTGCCTGCCGCTTGGAAGGCCTGGGGGCAGGAGGTGCCACTCAGGACAGTGTGGGTGAAGGAGAGCTGGGGGGTCAGCAGGTCAGTGGACAGAGCAGGCTGGTGAGTCTGAGGCAGCAGCAAGAGGTGGGCCAGGCGGGTGGGCTGCACAGAGGGGTCAGGGGGTGGCCAGGTGCAGGGGCCACCAAGGCCAGAGGCAGGCTCAGAGCTAAAGGGTGGGGGCCTGGGTGCAGAGCGTTGGCCTCTTGGGGACGAGGGCGCCGGGATACAGGACCCTCTCAGCCCTCCCCAGTGTGCCCGGGCCGTCCTGGGAGCGGCCAGCACACGCAGCGGGTAGAGCCACCAGACCCCTCCTGGTGGTCACACACACGTGCACTAAACTTCTGGCCTCTGTCCTGCCACCCCTGCCGCCACTGCCGCCCCAGCCGCTGGCCGATGGCTCCTCCAACCCATCCCTGCACGAGAACGGGAAGCAGGCGGCCCTGCCCCACCAGCCGGCGGAGGCGTCCCCGTGCAGCAGCCTGGGCAGCCTGGGCCCGGCCGAGAAGGACGACGACTGCAGCTCCTCGTCCAGCCTGCGCTCGGCCGCCAGCGACGACCGCTTCCTCGGCCGCGCCTTCCTCCGGGCGCACAGCTTCCCCGAGCTGCTGGCCTGTGAGAGGTGAGGAGGGGGCGGGCGGGCGGGCGGGCGGGCGGCAGCCAGCCCCGGTTAAGCGCTTCCCAAGCGCTGGGCCAGGGCTGGGCACCATGTGGGACTGCACGTTGTGGGGGGTACAGGGGTCAGGCCGGCACCACTGCCCACCCTGTCCCTGCTGCCGGCACGGCTGGGACAGGGTCGGCGACAGGTGCCATATCTGCCGTGTGGAACGCACATTTCTGGCCCACATTTTTGGGCGCAAAAACAAGGATGAACTTTATACATGGATAGTACTAATTCCGTATCTATAGAAATGTTTTTCATTTCTTTTATGTAGGCGTTTGTACTAACAGTGTACCTCTAGAAAGCAGTAATGATAGCCATAGGCAAAATAACACCCTAGAGTACGATAATCAGTGTGTTTCTAAATAGTAAGTAAATAAATTGAATTAAAATATTGAAACAAAAGATTTTTTTCCCTGAAAGTTTGGGCCAAAAACGTGGGTGTGCATTATACACGGGAGCTCATTATACACGGCAAAATACAGGGAACTATTCATTAGACGGTGAATTGGTGCCTCCTGACAGTCCTAGCGGGCGGGTGCTGTTTTTGTCCCCATTTTACGGAGGACAAAGTGAGTCTCAGAGAGGCTGAGTGACTTGCCCGAGGTCACACAGCAGACGGTGAAGGGGCCGGGGCTGAGCCCACCGCCTTATCTCTGGAGCCCAGGCTCAGCGTCATCCAAGCACCCAGCCCGAGCAGGGCTCCGCGTGTGGGGGTGCCCAAGACCCTCAGCCCAGCAGGCGTGTGGGTCGGCACTCAGGCCCGTCCGCTCTGAATGCTGGTGAGGAAGGTCAAAGGCCGGCACACAGTCCACAGCCGTGGAAACAGTGCGCCCAGACCCTGAGCGTGGTGTGGACCCTGCGGCTGGCCCAGGGTGGGAGGGGCTACTCCGCTGAGCGGCAGCCTCGTTGGCTGGGCCCCCCTCGCCGGGAAGGGCTGTTTCTGAGCGTTTGGACCGTCCAGCAGTTTGCGTGGAGTGTAGTTACTGAAGACACATTTATTCACACCCTGCCTCTTATCTGCCCCCGTGACCGTGCGACCGATACTTGATTCCTCTGGCCCTCGATTTCCTGAGTCAGTTTCCTCGTCTGTAAAATGGGCACAAGAATGGTGCCATTTCAGCCCTCAGAAAGGTGACATGTGATACTAGATGTGCAAGTGACTGGAAGGAGGAGTTAGTCTCATTTTTCCCACCGTCCAGCTCTTCCTGATACGTCCTTAATGCCCAGGCAGCGCAGTTTTCTTCCAGTCACGGGTGGATGTCAGGCAGCCCCTGTGGGTCCCTCGTGGAGACCGCGGCTGGCCGTTCGGAGCCTCCGCGTGCGGCCGAGCTTCAAACCCGGAGCCAGGACGCACGTGGCTTGGACTGAAGTGTGACCTCTCTCGGCGCCTCAAACACACTCAAGGTCTTTCCTGTCTCTCTCGTGGCTTTGCAGCGCCGACCTTGACCTGTGCATCTATAACCTTCACTTAAAGGATCTGCTGGAGCTGGACACGGCGCTGAGGCAGGACAGGCACTCGGTATGTGGCGCGGGGGACTCGTCACCCTTTCACAGCGCAGGACCGGGGCCACAGGCGGTCTGTGCCCTGAGTCCCCGAGACCCTGGGGGACGGGTGTGCACAGCAATGGAGCCGGCACGGCAGGACCGGAGAGCGACGTTGGGCACAGACCCCGAAATGGCAAAGCAACTCCTGCCACTGGGGGCACGGCTTTGCTTTACCCAGAGACACAGACACATAGACACACAGACACACAGAGAGAGAAGCAGGAGGAGGAGGCGAGGGAGGGAGATAACCATTGTTTAAACTTTCCCCTTTGTTTCATTTCCTTTTCTGGCCACAGATGTTTATTCAGGTCTTAAAAATGTGCCTGCTGGACATTTTTCCGAAAAAGAAGTCGGATGATGAGTTCTACCAGAAGATTCTTTCGAAACAAGAAAGTGTAAGTCTTCAGCCTGTTACGTCAAGGAGCCTGAGAGGTGGCTTGTTACAACACATAACACCTGGGAACGTGGTTTTGCTTTCGTGGGTGGAAATGGTGTATTCCCACATACACTTCTAAACGCAGTCTAGGGACACAGAAGGATGTGTGCAGATGTGACAATAACCAAGTGTGTTTCTAAAATGTGAGGAAACACTGGCAGCAGAGCAAAGAGAAGGATGTTGGTCATACTCATCGCCCAAGGGAGTCACCGCTGATGTTATTTTCTGCAGAAGCTTGGGCTGTTTTTACATGTACAATTTTGCAGGACTTCACAAGGATTGAAAGATCCTGTTTCACTGCTTACTAAGCATGGTCTATTTTTCCTGGGCGATGAGGAACATAAAAGAAAATAATCCGTGATTCTTGAGCTCTGTGTTTACGAGGAAAAGAGATTTCTGTCCTCCAGCCTGAAATGGGGCCACACCCGGAGCATTTAATCACGGCTAAGAAATCCGGTGTGGTGATGGGACAAGTCAGAGCGTTTCTTTTTCTAGGATTTAAGAAACGTTAGATTTTTTTTTCCTTAGTTTTCTTCCCTCTGCTCCTCCAGGACCTGCGGGAGCTGGAAAGGGGGCTGCAGGTCAGGCTGTCGGACACGGAGGTGCTGGGCGCCGGCGACCCCGAGTTCGTCACCCTGGCGGCCGTGGAGAAGAAGGAGCGCGAGCACGCAGAGCAGCTGATCGACAACGTGCGTGCGGGGTGGGCGCTCTTTCCGCAGCAGCAAAGCCGGGGCTGCGCTCGGGGAGCGGGGAGCCACGGGTGCCCCGGGAGCGTGTCCGACACGGGAACTCCCAGTCGGCTGTGCCCTGCAGCCAGGGACCCATTTCTGAGTGACGCCAGGGAGAAGGTCTGACAAAGGGGCAAGACTTTTTTTTTCAAACCAACCCCCCCTTGTTTAAATCTTGGGTGGACCTTTCTAGCATTGAAAGCCAAGGTTGCTGTGACCCTCTCTGGCCTTGCCAGCTGACTACTGGCCCCTAACGCCGCGTACCCCACTCGGAAAAGCAGGATTTAAATTCAGAGAGGGTGGCTGCCCTCCGACATCTCCTTCTGGCTTTTGGGGGCCTTCCACGCCCCCCTGTTCACATACTATGTATTCAACAAACGTCTCCTTGGAACCCAGGCACTGTGCCGGCTACTGGGTATCCAACATGAACTTGGGCCTGGCCCTGCCGGAGAGACGCTCAGGCCAGCCTGGGGGCGGGGTGGGGGGTGCCGGGGACCGACAGTTGAGCAGGTGCAGACTTATGGGCCACGAACGTGACAGATGGGAGCACGTGGGAAAGCTGATCGCCGTGGAGGGAGGCTCCGTCCCACCCCAGGGCCCGGGGCATCTTCGCAGAAGAAAGGACCAGGGGGCTTCTCGGAGAAGTGCGGGCGCTGGCCAGTGGGCAGGCTGAGAGGGCAGCCGGGAGGGCCGGGCCCCAGGGTCCTCCACTCCTGCCGGGAGGAGGGTCCCTTTCTGTTCTAGGAGGACCACACAGGCTGCCGCGGGGGTCCCCTAAAGAGCTGCAGGGCCAGTGCAGGAGGGGTTTCATGAGGGCGGGTGTGGTGGGGAGGGGGAGGGGAGGAGAAGCGGGAGCTCGTGGGGTGGGATATAATGAGGTTGGGGGGGAGAGGGTGCACAGGGTCAGTTCTGTGGGAATAAGGACCCCAGAGTGAGAAGCAGGCGGGGGGGGCAGGTGGTGAGTCTGCTCGACAGCCTGGAGGTGCATGGGGACAGAGCCCCCCAAGCTCAGGTGGGAGGGCAAGGAGAGCAGGTGTGTTCTTAGGGGGAGCCGGGAAGGGAGGGTGCTCGGCCGGGCCCCGTGGCCCCCAGAGTCCCCGAGGCGGGGGGCCGTCTTGTCCGTGCCTGCACATTTCCGGCAGAGGGGGCGTGTCGGTGACCTGCAACCACCAGGGGGCGCTCCCGCCCAGGAGCGTGCGGTGGGGGGTGGGGGGCGCGCAGAGGAGGGAGTCTGTGCCCGGTCCTGCATCCCGGCAGCAGCTGAGGGGCAAGGGCCCAGGAGAACCAAGACGAGATGGCAGAGCAGGGACTTGGAGGAACCAGGAGGGAACCTTGTCACGGACGCCGGGGGAAGGCCGGGCTTGTGAGAAGGACGACGGGGCCCCTGGCTCTCTGGGGCTGGAGGAGAAGCCGCAGCGCTGGCTGGACGTGGAACTGTTTCCGGGTGCGAAGTTCATGGGCGATCGTCCACTTCCTGTCCCAGCAGCTGGAGACGGGGCCCTCTGATGGGCCGGAGGGACAGGAAGGTGGCGGGTGGGGTCAGTGATGGCTGAGCTGCTGCCCGGAGACCCCGAGGTGGGAGAACAAACTTTTGAGGAGGGGCCGTCCCTGCCGGCGCGGGTTTCCTCCTCCTGGCCGGGCCCAGCCCTGGGAGGCGGCTGGCTGCACCGCGTCGGTCTCAGGCTGTCGTTTTTCTCCACCTGCAGCCACAGCAGCAAGATCAGTGTGGGTCTGGCGTCCTTGTCCCCCGACCCCTGTCCAGCAAGATCCTGTGGGTCGGGGGCCCTGACCCCTGACCCCTCTGTGCCTGTCCAGCCAGAAATGTCTGTCTCGGTGGTGGAGAGGTGGAGCCGAGATGGAGACACTCAGAGCTGGGGGCTGAACAGACCGGAACCAAGGCTGCCTCTGCCTCTCGCCGGCTCCGGGACCTAGGACAAGGGCCCCGCCTTCCTGAGCCTGTTCGAGATTTTATCCAGACACAAAATGCGTACGTGAGGCACAGAACCTGCCGGCCATAAGATACAAGACAGCAGCTAAGACCCCTGGTGACATCGTTCTCAGCTCTGAGGGACCACAGTGACAGCAGGGGCACCCACATTCCCAGCCGCTCGGGGACTCCAGCTCTGCTCCCGACGAGATGGAGAAGGAGGAAGGCGTCAGAGCAGAGCACTGGCACGGCGGCAGCGCCTCTCTGCCTTGCCCTCTCTTGTGCTGTTAGGACAGGATGTGCTACTTAAATGGCCATTGGTGCTTTTATTTCCAGGGCACGTTTAATCCCTTCTAAAGATCTGGAAGCTTCCCAGAGCACACTGGAATTCTGTGCACACACCCCGCACCCCCCCCCCACCGCCCCTGGTGGCAGGAATCAGCCCGGTGAAGGGTCCTTACACCGTGGAAGCCGGTGCTGACCTGCCGTAGCAGCTGCTCATCACCGTTTGCTGCAAAGCCGCCCTGCCGCTGACCGGCGCCGGCAGTGGCACGGGGAGGGACCTCCAGAGGATGTGATGGTCGCCGAGATGGCCCTGCTCCGGCGTGCAGATGGTTTAGGGCCTCAGCTTGTGATGAGGAGTGAATCGAAATTGCCAAACCTGAGCCAGCCAGCTTTGTAGCTTTCTTAACTAAGTCTTCTCCCCCCCACCTCTTGCTTCTCATTCTCATTTCACAGATGGAAGCTTTCTGGAAACAGATGGAAAACATCCAGCACTTGCTCGTGGACCAGTTTAAGTGTTCCAGCTCCAAAGCCCGACAGCTCGAGATGAGTCTGACAGAAAGAATGATCGCAGCGGAGGGGTGGCTGCGGGACTCCCAGGACCTGCAGGCTCTGGTGCGCTGGGGTGGGGGGGAAGGGTTGGGAGCAGGGGCCGGGCGTGAGGGATGTAAACCAGAGATGTGGAATCAGGAAGCTTGAAGTGCTGTACAGGTCATTCAGGTGCACACCTTCGTATTGTAGAGCAGGAGAGAGCCCAGAAAACAGCAACGGTCCATCCACTATCCAGCCACCCTTCCTTCTGTCCATCCGTCTATCCATCCATCCACCATCCATCCTTCCTTCCATCCATCCATCCACCATCCAGCCATCCACCATCCAGCCATCCACCATCCATCCACTATCCATCCATTTATCCATCCACCATCCATCATCCAATGCCTCCTCCATCCATCCATCCACATACCTATCCACCCACCTACCCACCCATCCATCCATCTATCTACCCACCTATCCATCATCCATCCACCACCCATCCATCCATCCACCATCTATCCATCCACCATCCATCCATCCTTCCATCCATCCACCCATCTGTCATCTATCCATCTATCCACCCATTCATCCACTTATCCATCCATCCACCACCCATCCATCCACCCATCCATCCCCCTGAGTGCTCGCTGACCTGTGACACCCTTGTCACCAGGGAGATTCTCTGTGGAGGTTTGGGGCTCACCCTGCCTCTGACCCTGGGGATGAAGTCATGCCTTACATTTCGGACCCGTGCGCCACCCAGGTCACACCCGGCTCAGAAACCTCCCCTGGCCACCCTGCCCTCAGCTCACAGACTCAGCTGCTCAGACCCGGGAGCAGGTCCGGAGGGGCCAGAGTGGATTTCTGTGGCTTCTCCACAAACCGCCTGCTCCTAAGGGCAGTGTGCAGGACTGCAGCGTCAGTGTCGCCCGAGAGCTGGTTAGAAATGCAGCACCTCCCCCCACACCCACACTGAGCTGTGTGTGTTAATAAATGCGCACCCCCCCTCCCCCCCGTGCACACAGCCGCTGGAGGACTTTATAGGGCTTGTCCCACCCAGTGCACACACAGCCCCCCCGCCTGCCTCGGCGCCACTAAAAGACAGGCAGGTGTGATGCTCACGGTGACAGATAAGAGGCCCGCTAATGACCCTCCTGGGACCCCACCCGGCCAACGGCAGTGCCGGGCCTGCACCCGAGCATACTGGTTTGCCATCCAAGCCCCTTTGAACTGGATTGTAATGTGATCGGGCTGCCGCTAGGAATGCTCGTCAATGGAGAAAAACTTTTCCTTTTCTCATTTTTCTTTTTTTATTTAATTATTATCCTGTCGGCAGGGTATTGATGCAGGGAAAACAAATGTATCCTTAGCTGACTCTGGCCCAAGTATTTGGCAGAAACACCCAAACAGGGAGAAGGGAGAGAATTGTCCAGGTGCTCCGGGCGCTCTTCAGCCAGCGGCGGATGAGCGTCGCCTACGCGGAGCCCCGGTCAGTGACAGAAACGGTATTGCAGACTCGGGCCGGAGGGCTGAGCACGCGCCCCAGTCCTGCCACTGATGGGCCGTGTGGCCTTGCGTAGTCCCTCAACCTCTCTGTGACTGTGACTCAGTTGCCCCCTCTGTAAAATGGGATCAGAGTGGCCGCTGCTCGGGAGGTGTTAAGAGACTGGACAGTACGCCCGGCCTTCCCAACAGATACCGGCGCACCGCAAGCGCGCATGCGCGTTAGTGGTCAGACGCCATCAGCGGGCCAGATAGGCGTTCGCCATGGCTGCGGTGCCGGGAAAGGGCTGCAGTGGGCGTTTGTGCGGGAGAGGGCCGCATTAGCTCCGCCTGCCCCCACTCAGGCCCCTCCCCCGCACCCCAAGATGCATCCAGGGCTGTGCTGTGGATGAACTAGAGAAGAGTTTCAGTCCTCGGGCCAGCATCGCGGGCCTGGGACGTGTCACGTGGCCTGGATGACTGCCCGAACGGAGCCCCGGAGAGGGCCCTGAAGGTTATAGAATCCGACTCTTGGGACGCTCGAGGACAACTGGAAGCCACGGGCGGTGAGGGGCCTGGCTGCAGTAGTGATGACAGCCGCCACGTCCCCAGCACCTGCTGTGTTCCAGCTGCTGCGTTGGCCCCCTACATTGTAGCGCCTTTAGTCCCTGCAGCAACTCTGCACAGGAGGGGTCCAGTGAGGACTCCGCCCCCAAGGTCCTGCAGCGCTGAGGGGTGGAGCCAAGTTCGACTGAACCCGGGGGCCTGCCTGGCGTCCCTTTGCTCCTCCTGCCCTCCGTCCTCCCTCTGGCGCCCCTGGGCTCAGGCTCCCCTCTCTCCCCTCCCATCTGTCCTGCACAGTAAACCCAGATCAGCGCTCTCACTAGCAGCCAGGCCTCAAGGCGAGAGCGCCTATCCTCCAGCGCCCTCCAGTGGTCAAGGGCCTGCAGGCTGCTGGCAGGTTCCTTTCTTTGGAGGAGAGGAAGGTGCACTGTCCCTCGGGCTAGCTATGTATGTGTGGCCTTCCAGAATAAACCTCAGCGTCCTCGTCCATGGTTGGGGGTGGCTATTCTTGCCCTGTCCACACAGACCAGTGCGGCTCAGCAGCAGTGAGGCCCAGGCTGGGCAGCGGTGGCTCGGGCTCAGCCCCTGTTTCAAGGGCCCTCAGTGCTTCAAGTGTCCTCAGGTTTAGCTCCTTAACGACAGAGAAGCACAGGGGCAGTGGAGCCTGGAGGAGGGGTGCGGTGGGGTGCGGAAGATCAGAGCCTGCAGGGACGTGTAGGGCCCGGCCAGGCAGCGGGGTAAGAGGAGAAGGGGAGGGGTTGCAGCGGGAGGCCGGCCCGGCGTGCGCCAAGGCCGGGGGGAGCTGCAGGCTGGGTGTCCTGAGCAGCCGGGAGCTGCAGGTGTGGGGACCGGGCCGGGGACTCAGCCAAGCCTGGTCCTGAAGGCTTCGTGCGCCATGCCCCGGAGTGTGGACCGGGTCCGAGGGCGGGGACTGGAGGGCTTGGGCCAGGGGACCACAGAGCCACATCTGCAGCTCAGAAAGACCCCGTCTGCCATGTGGGGGGCGAAGCATGAGGGGACCATGGGGGGCTGGGAGACCAAGAACGGTCGGAGGCAGCAGCCCAGGGCAGAGGTGGCCAGAGCTGGTGTGGTTGTGGGTGGGCAGGAAGGGAACAGGAGGATCTGAATGAAGCAGGATCGCAGGCCTGGGGGAGAAGGGGCGGGGCCAACTCAGGCCTCTGCTGGTGTCACTTGGCTGGTGGGGCCACTGCGAGGTGGGAAAGGACGCAGGCCTGCAGCTTTACTGTGCCCCACGCACCATGATGGCAGTGTCCCTGCAGCTGTCATGTGACCCACGTGCCACGGCGGCAGTGTCCCTGCAGCTGTCATGTGACCCACGTGCCACGGCAGCAGTGTCCCTGCAGCTGTCATGGGACCCACGTGCCACGGCGGCAGTGTCCCTGCAGCTGTAACGTGCCCCACGCGCCACCGTGGCACTGTCCCTGCACCCCCATCGTCCGCGCTCCCATCCCACAGTGCTCGTTCATTGGGCGTCTGCTCTCTGCGACATAAGGCCGGTGTTGCAGACCTTAGGGCCCCCTCGGCCTCTGGTCAGCGTGTCCTGTGTGGGAGAGGCCTCTTGTCCAGGAGAGGTGTCCCCAGTGGTGACAACGTGGTAGGATGGGGTGGGGCCGGTTCTGAGGCCTGGCTCTGGGGTCGTGGCTCTCCTCGGGTCTCTTAAAGCCCCAGCACCGGGCTCCATGAGGCCCCAGCGCCCAGAATTCCCACGATGCCTCTCCGCTCCCTGCAGTTCTTTCCCGGGGCTGTGGCCGCCACTGTGGCCCAGGGGGGTGAGGGAGGGAGGGAGGGCTCTGAGAAAGGTGGGGTTTCCCCTTCGGTTGTGTGCAGACCCCGAGTTCCTTCCCAGAAGAGTGACCCTCTGTGGATCACTTAGTAGCCCAGGGTCTGTGTCACCGCGTCCCCACCAGGGACGATGCGGTCCCTGTCTGAGGAGCAGATGCAGGAGCCTCAGAGGGGAGGTGGGGGCCCCAGACAGAGCCTGTTGCTGGGAGCAGATGGGCAACGTCCTGCCGAATGTCCGGCGTCTGTCTCTTCGCAGGACATCCTGGAGCGGACGATGGGGCGGGCGCACATGGCCAAGGCGATCGAGTCCCTGAGGCAGCAGGTCCAGGAGGAGACCAAGTGCCGGCTGGCCGCCATCTCCCGCAGCCTGGACGGGCTGACCGTCGAGGGGAGACTGTCGGGGGGGCAGAAGGAGGAGCTGCTGACCCAGCAGCACAAGGCCTTCTGGGAGGAGGCGGAGCGCTTCGGCATGGGTGAGTACGCTTCAGCAGGGCCTGGGTCTGGGGCCCGGGCCTCTCGGGGGCCACCAAGCTGTGGGCCGTGGGGGGGGGCAGGGCTGGGGCACAGCCTTTGTCCATGTCCCAGTTCTGCCCTAGGGGACCAGTCACTCAAATTCTGTGAGCCTCAACTTGCCTTCTCCATAAATCGGGGTACGTATGAGCTGCCTCCTTGGGCCAGGCTCTGCTGCTGCACTGGGGCGTCGGTGATCCAGGCTGACAGAGAGCCCAGGGTCCCTGGAACTTGCCGAGGGCCAAGGAGGGCGGGAACACCCAGAGGAGACACGTGCCTCTCAGCTGCAGCCAGCAGCACCTACACTCGTCATGGGCCCGGCGTAGCTGCCAGGTGGTGCACTGGTGCGCTCAAGCCAGCAGAGGGCGCCTGACACAGCCACCTCCCACACGCGGTTTTGCTCCTGGACCAACTCTGCGGAGTGGCAGGGAAGGGCTGAAGCCATCCAGGGCCCCCAGACTTAGTCCAGGTCAGACCTGCAGTGGGGCCCGTGAGAAGAAACCCAGGTCTCCTACTGCAGGGCCGGCACCACCTCTGTGCCAGCTTCCTCGTGCTCCAGGTGGCACACGTGGCCTTGGGCCTGGACCGAGGCACCGGGCCGGGCCTCTCGGGTCTCATCAGGACGTCCGCAGGACACCCGTGTGCCTGACATGGCCCCCAGCAGGCTCTGACCCCCACTCAGGCCCGGACCCCACAGCTCGGGCCACCCTAACGAGATGCCACGGACGAGGGGCCTGAGCAACCGACGTTCATTTCTCCCAGTTCTGGAAGCTGGAAGCCCCGGCCGATTCGGTTCCTGGGGAGGGCCCACGCCCTGGCCTGCGCGGGGCGCCTCCCCGGTGCACCCGCATGCGGCAGAGAGACGGCTCTCTCGCGTCCCGTCCCCTTCCGAGGCCCCAGCCCCATGCGTCAGAGCCCCAGCCTCGTGGCCTCATTGAACCTCAGGGACCTCCTTAGAAGTCCCATCGCCAAATACAGTGACCACAGGGATTTGAGGGGACACAGTTCGGAGCAAGTAGAGAGCGGGGCTGGGTCCCGACCTTGGGCTGGCCCCAGCCCTGGCTCTGTGCTCCGCACGCTGCTGGGGCCGAGGGACCGGGTGGGACCCTCCCCCTGGCTCACCTCCTCCAGCCCCCCGGGGACCTTGCCCTTGGGCTGGCCCGCCCTCCTCCTGGGCTGCGGACCTAAGAACTCTAAGTGGGGGTCTCTCCAATTACTGTGGGGCTGCGGGCTTCGAAGAGCCAGGGGCCCTAACACCAGCCTTTCGGAATCACACGCGCCCGAGTGGAAGAGCGAAAGTGAAATGGAATTCACCCCCAAGCCCTGCCCCCTCTTTGCGCTGGCAGAGGAAGCTGGGGCGAGTTTCGGCAGCAGAGTCACCGGGCCGGGCCGTCCTGTGGCTTGTTTCAATTTCAGAGCTTGTCCGGCGAGGCAAAGAGCTGGTCCAGGCATGGCGGGTTCGCCAGGCGGAGGGGACGGCCGCGCTGCTGCTGGCCCAGGAGGAGGAGCGGAAGAACTTCCTGGCAGAGGCGCCGCTGACCGCTGACCCCGACGGGCTCCTGCAGGTGACCTGCTGCTGACTCGGCCGCCACCTCTGTGGGCACGCTGGTCCTGGGAGCGGCCATGCAGGCTGACCGCGGTGTGGCTCAGTCGCCGTCACCACGCGCAGGAAGCCGGAAGCTTGGGCATCCAGCGGACGGGAGGTCCATTCTTGGCTTCCCACGTGTCAGCCCGTGACCTTGGCCGGGTTCTCCGAGCCCTGCCTCCCTTGATCCCTGGTCTGTAAGCCGGCAGCAAGGGCCCCGCCGGGTGGGCCTTCCCGGGCCTGTGCAGTGGTCTTCAGCAGCGGGAGTCAGAGAACGCTGCGTCCAGGAGAGAGCAGTCGTGGGGCGGCCTGGTAGCACCCCCCCCACACACACGGGGCTGGACAAGCGCACAGCCCGGGGTGCCCTGGAGACCGGACTGGCGGGGCCTGGCCTGGGCCTCAGTGCGCAAGCAGCAGGGGCCCAGACCCTGGGCCTGGCATTCCTGAGCATGAATCATGGGGGGACACCCTTTAGATCTGAGAAGCAAGGGTCAGGCGGGGAGATATTCTAGAGGGGAAAAAAATCTGCATTTTTCTGTCCAATTCAGCCCCTGTTTTTACTCACAGGCTTTCCACGAGGTCCTGGAGCGGCAGCGGCTGACACGCAGCGACCTGGAGGAAGAGGACGACCTCAGAACCACCGAGGCCATGGCTGCACTCTGCCAGGTACGTGGCCCCCCGTGGGCCCGCCCACAGCCGTCAGGATCTGAGTGTGCGCGAGAACCTCGCAGCCTCACTCCCAGGCCCCAGCACCCCAGTGCCCCAGCGTGGCTTGCCCTGTGTTTTCCAAGGGCTGTGCACACAGCGGCCTGTAGGGGGCGGAGCTGGAAGCAGGGAGCCTGGGGAGGCCTCCTGGTGGTCCAGGCCCCGGGGTCAGCGGGGGCCTGGCTGGGCTGGCACAGGCAGGGGCGGTGAGAAGGCGTGGGGCCAGGGTCCGTTTTCATGGTCAGCGTCTCCGTCTCCTCGGTTAAAACGGGGATAATAAGCTTCCTTCAGGCTTTCAAAACGTGTCGTGACTGCTAGTGCCTCACTGCCCAGGAGGGCGTGTGTGCACAGGATCCTGTGTGTGCACGGGGTGTGTGTGTGTGTGTGCGTGCACAGGATGGTCTGCACGCCCAGGACGTGCTCACGGGGCAGCTCGCCTTGCAGTCTGGCGGCCCTTGCCCAGACCCAGCCCGCAGGCAGCATCTCCCCCTTTCCCCGGGCTGCACTCCCACCGTGCTACCGTGGGCGCGGTGGCTGGGGGGGGGGGGTGGTGATGCCCACCTGCTGGTCCTCAGGCTGCCGAGAAAAGCGCACGTTCCTGAATTCCCGCCGTCTCTTGACCTTTAAACACACGGCAGAGTCTCCGCTCGATGGAGACAGATGCCACTGAATGACAGGTCTTGGCGCCGCCTGCGGAGATTTCTGAGCTCCGGCCAGAGTGGCCCAGGCCCAGCAAGGACAGGCGGGGGCTGAGGGCTCCCGGGGGAGGGCAGGTGAGGGGGCTGGTGACATGGCAGACCCACCGTGCTCAGGGCTTCCGCACCTCCGGCTCCCAGGAGGAGTCGGGGGGAGGGAAGGAGGAGAAGGTGAGACTCCGGCCTCGGAGGAGGCAGAAGGAATAGGCACCGATGAGGGGGTCCAGGGCAGGCTCCACGACAGTCCTCCCCTGGGAGCCCGAGGGCAAGTTCGGGTGCCCCCGGGACCACCCTCTGGCTCTCTAGTTCTCTGACCGGCGGATGTGCGCTGGAGGCCGGTCTGCTCGCAGTCTCGCGTCAGGGCAGCAGAAGGCCCAGACTCAGGTCGGCCGGAGACAGGGGCGGGGGGCGGGGGCGGGCGGAGCCTGGAGTCCCCAGCACCAGGCTTCCAGGGTCCTGTCCCCGCGGGGGCCTGGGCAGCCCCAAGGTCCTGGCGATGATGACGCTGCGCATTGCCGACCAAGGAAGCTCCCTGGAGCCTTGGTGTCCTCGGTGTTCGTCGGGGCGCAGTGGGTCCCAAGGACGTGCTGGACCACCCGTGTGGGTGGCCTTAACCTCCGGCCCCTGCGGGTCAGCCGATACCTCACGGCCAAGGCCCCACCCTGATGCCACCGTTATCGCAGGCCATCGGACGGGCCCGAGAGCCCCAACAACCCAAGAGCCTCTTCTCAGGGAGGACATTGCAGGAGTTTAGAGGTCACCTTCCGGGAACTGGGGCAAAGGTCGGGCCTCTCTCCGGACAGGGTCACTTCTTCCGTGCACCGCCGTGACCGGTGAAGGTGTTTTGTTCAAGGCCGTGCAGCTGGGGAGCCTGGATCCAGACCGAGGGCCCCTGAGGTTCAAGTAGGGAGAGCAAAGCACTGGGGGGCCCGTGGGGCGGGGCAGAGGAACGCGCAGCCCCCCACGAGGGCGCAGCTGGGCCTCCCCGCCCCCGAGGGCTGCAGAGGGGTGACGCGGGAGGGGCGATCAGTCCAAACGCGTGAATGAAGGAAGGAGTAATTCAAGGAAGGAGTGAACCCACCACGCTGTGGGCATTCGGAGGGCGGGGTCTGAGTTTCCTGCAGCTGCTGCAACAAAGTAACACACATTCAGCGGCTGAAACAACACGGAGTGATTACCTTCCAGGTTGGAGGTCAGGGGGCCCGAGCGGGTGTCCCTGGGCTACGAGGAAGGTGCCTGCAGGGCGGTGTCCCTTCTGTGGGCTCCAAGGAGGAGTCTGTTTCCTCGGCTCCTCCAGCTTCCGGGGCCGCCCCCATCCCTCGGCTCGCAGCCCCTCCTGCGACTCCACGGCAGAGACTGTGCGCTCCTGCCTCCTCCCGCTCTGCCTCCCCCGCCCCCCTCTTTCACTGATGAGGAGCCCGTGATTGCATCGCCCTCACCTGGGCACCCCAGGCACACCTTCCCGTCTCACTTGCTCACACCTGCAAAATCGCTTTGACCGTGGGAGGTGGCATGTTCCGGGGGCTCAGACGTGGACGTCTCAGGGAGCCACTACTCGGCCACCACAGGCCGCTGTGGTGCGAGAGAGGGCGAGTCCGTCCACGTGGCCGCCCGTTATCCAGGGCCAAGGGCGGAGCGTGCGTCGTCACGGAGGGTGCGGAGTGTGAGAAAAGCAGGCTGGCACGCTCGCACCACCCACCCACCTCCGTGGCGGCACGGCGCGGCTCTGTGCTTTCACCCAGCGAAGCTGCCGGAGGAAGGACGTCACGCTGTCTTGGTTTGCAGCGGTAAAACTTGCCAGAGCCCTCGCGGTCCTACCTGCCGACCGATTATCCCCCTCCTTCCGTTTGGTGGTTTCCCCAGCAGCTCGCCCCCCTGCAAAGGCGGACCCAGGTGCTGAGGAGGAAAGGGTCACTCAGAGCGCAGACAGACCGAGTGTGGGCCCCGTCTGGCTGCGTCCCTGCTGTGGGGCCCTGTCCTTGTCTCTTAACCCCTCTGGTCTAGGAATTCTTAGCTGCCTTCCTTACAGATTGATCGTAATAAAGAAGCCCCTTGACACCCAAAAATGCCACCCACAGCCCTCGGGATGAACCCTAACACCCCTCACCTGGCCCATGGTGACCCGCCAGCCTGGTCTGTGAAGCTCCCACACGGCCTGACCCATCTGACTTGGCCCCAAAGACCCCTGAGACCAGCCAGCCTGGCCCCGAAGCAGCCCTCCTGACGGAGCTCACAAGGCCGGCGTGAGCCAGCCCACTGGTGGCCTCTCTGGACTCATGCCCCTTGCTGGCTCCCTGCCAGCCAGCCTCAGCCATCCCTCAGGTCCCCAAGGGCGCCCTGGGGCCTCCTGCCCCAGTGCCTTTGCACATGCTGTTCCCCCGACCTGAGACACGGTTCCCTCCGTGCCCCCAGGTCTGCGTGTCCTCATCCTGGTCCCAGTTACGGGTCACTTCTGCAGGGGGCCCTTCCTGACCCCTCCCCGAGACCAGTGAGGTTCTCTGGTCTGTCCCTGGGGCTGCCACCCTCCCCACCACCACACTTGTCCTAGCAGTGCCTGCCCCCGGCACAGAGCCCTCAGGAGGTGCAGTGGAGACCCGTGCAGGGACAGTCTATGACAGCCGTGAGGGTAACACACCTCCACCCCACAGCAGCAAAGGGCCCCTGCTGTCTAGGGGCGCACCCCGTAACCACGGCCACCTGAAGCGACAGGACTTATCCTCTCGGTCGGTGCACTGGCCAGAGGGTGGCGGACCCCAGCTGGGCCTGATGAACACGACACGCTCCATCCACCCTCTCTCATTTCCTGCTCAGGCCGGCGGGCTCTTCCCCCAGCCCCATGGAGAGCTAGCCTGCACCCTAGCACACGCCTCACCCGCCTCGCTTTATTGGCCAACACAGGTCACGTGACCGAACCCAGTGTTAAAGGACTGGAAGGTCCTCCAGGGTGCTGGGGACAGAGGGCTGCTTGCCCTGCACTGTGCTGTCTGTCGTCATTACTTACGCCGCGTTTTTCTGTGTATAATGCGCTCCCACACATAATCCCCAGCCCTGCTTTTGGCCCAAACTTCCAGGAAAAGAATCTTCCACTTTAATTTTTTCATTCAATTTTTTTTTTTTAGTGATAGGTTTTTTTTTTTAAAGATTTTATTTACTTATTTTTCAGAGAGAGAGAGAGAAACATCAATGTGAGGTTTCTGGGGGCCGTGGCCTTTAACCCAGGCATGTGCCCTGACTGGGAATCGAACCTGCAACACTTTGGTTCGCAGCCTGTGCTCAATCCACTGACCTATGCCAGCCAGGGCTCATTCATTCAATTTTTTATTTGTTTCGATTTAGAGACAAAATCACTTATATTCCAGAGTATTATTTTGCATACAGATATCATTATTGCTTTCTAGAGGTACACTTCTGACGCATACGTATAAATAAAAGAATTTAAAAGCGTTTATATAAATACAGAACTAGCACTACCCATGTGTAATGCGCATCCTTGTTTTTCCCTCAAAAATCTGGGCAAAACAGTGCGCATCATACACGGCAGCACACGGTGACCGGCCCTCGAAGCGGATCCTGCATTCACAGAGCTGCTCGCAGATAGGAAAGCGTTTAACCCGTTTTTTTGTTGTGAACTGTGACACACGCGTGAAGAAGGGGAGAGCGCATGCCCCACGGACGAACCAGTGGTCACCAAAGCGCCGTCCAGGGGACCGCCACCCAGACGAAGGGGGGGACGTGGCCAGGCCCCCAGGAGCCCCCCCACACCCCCCAGGCACCGTCTCCGAGTCCCGCGCCCTCCCTGCTCTCAGGAGCCAGATCCCGGCTCTTGTGCAAATGGAACCCAGAGGCCTGTGCCCGTGGGTGCCCAGCGTCCTTCGCTCCGCCCGCTGCTCGAAGAGTCGTCCCGTGTCCCCGCGGGCAGGACAGCAGTTCCTCCTTCCCCGCGGGTCCGTGGCGGCCCCTCGTGTGAACACGGGGCCCGTGGCCCGTTCCACTGCCGACAGACGTGCGTGTGGCTGCTCAGGTTAGACTGGGACACATTCCATGGACATGCACGTCCTAGCCGGCGCCATCGGACACCCTTGTGCACGCCTTTCTCTGGGGCGGAATTGCTGAGTTCAAGAGTGTAAGCGGGTCCGACCCGCCGTGGGCAGTTACCGTAGTGGCCGCCAGTTTGATCCGCGTGCGTAATTTACAGATACTTTGGTGAGAATTAACATCTGTACGACACCAGTCTTCCAATCCAGAGACGTGGTAGACCCGGACACTCAAGTCTTATTGAATCTTTCTTAATATTGCTCTATAATTTCCACCCGTAGGTGTAATGTTTGCCATAGTTTTGTTTTGTTTTGTTTTCAGATTCAGGAAGTCTCCCTCCAAGCCTCCTTCTGTTTCTGTTTTGCTAAGAGTGTTTCTTTTTTTTCTTTCTTTCTTCTTTTAAGATTTTATTTATTTATTTTTAGAGAGGGAAGTAAGGGAGAAAGAGAGAGAGAAACATCCATGTGCGGTTGCTGGGGGTCATGGCCTGCAACCCAGGCATGTGCCCTGACTGGGAATTGAACCTCCGACACTTCAATTCGCAGCCCACGCTCAATCCACTGAGCTACGCCAGCCAGGGTGCTAAGAGTGTTTCTGATGCACAAAAATTAAATTTTGTGAAATGGTTTTTCCTCATCTGCTCACGTAATCATCACGATGCTTTCCTGCTCTGTTCCGTTGACGTGGCCCATGACATTGACCTGGGCAGTGCCTGGAACTGCAAGCGAATTTCCACGTTTCCATCTTCCTGCTGCGTTTACCCTGCTAGTCTCATGGAGTCACCCCCTCTATTCCTAGTCACACTTTTTTCCTTGAAGACCATTTCACCTACTATGAATGTAGCAAAAAGCAACCCCATGTTTACTAGGTTTGGGTGATAGACTGATTCATTCGTTTTCAAAACAAATTTGCAGAGAGCATGGGGGCTGTAAAGTCAGGGGCTGGGCCTGCAAAATAAAAAACGGGGCTGTAAAATAGGGGAACTGGTGCAATTTGTTTTACCCTCTCTGTTACTGGACAGGTGAAGCCTCAGTCTCTCACCTGTAAATTTCTTTCCTCAGTTTTGGGAAATTTCTAAGCCATGCTCACTTTAAATATTGCTTCCACCTGGGCTTTCTCTTCTGTTGGGGACGCCAATTAAAAATGTTGGGTTTTCTGCCCTGGCTGGTGTGGCTCAGTGGATTGAATGCTGGCCTGAAAACCAAAGGGTCACCGGTTCGATTCCCAGTCAGGGCACACACCTGGGTTGCAGGCCAGGTCCCCAGTAGGCAGCATGTGAGAGGCAACCACACATTGATGTTTCTCTCCCTCTCTTTCTCCTTCTCTTCCTTTCTCTCTAAAAATAAATAAATCATGAAAAATCTTGCCCTGGCTAGTGTGGCTCAGTGGATCGAATGCTGGCCTGCAAACCAAAGGGTTGCCAGTTCAATTCCCAGTCAGGGCACATGCCTGGGTTGCAGGCCAGGTCCCCAGTGGGGGCACATGAAGAGAGAATCACACATTGATGCTTCTTTCCCTCTCTTCCTCCCTTCCTCTCTCTCTTAAAAAAAAATAAACACACAATTTAAAAAATAAATCATGAAAAATCTATTTAAAAAAACATTGGATTTTCTCATTGCCTCTTTCATGCCTGTATCTTCTCCATGTTTTCCAGCCTCAGTCCTTCCTCGCTCTGTCTCCCAGCATGCTTTCTTCAGCCGCATCTGGCCGCCGCTGGACCGGTGCATTGGGTTCATGAAACTGGCCCGTATTCCTCAGTTCCAAAAAGTCTGGTTGGTTCTTTTTAAACAAGGGAGCGCTACTTCTTATAATCTCCAGCTCTTTGCTTTAAGGTGTAAGGGTGGCTGGCCCTCACGAGCGCAGATGCGTCAATGCCGTAGGGCCCCTGTCTGTCATTCCACCCTCTGCGCTGCCCGCGGGTCTGACGCGTAACGCTGTCGCGTGGCTCTCTCGGCTCCAGGAGCTGTTCCGCAGCACCGTGGCGGCGTTCCAGGCGTTCGTGGACGCCCTGTTCCTGCAGACGCTCCCGGGCCTGACCGGCCTCTCCCGGGAAGAGTGCGGGTGCCTGAGCCAGGAGGCCCAGCAGGACGCCACCCTGCGGCTGGGGCGGTCCGACCGCTTCCGGAAGCAGCAGTGGGAGCTGTTCCAAGACCTCCTGGAGCAAGAGGAGCAGGTGCGGGCAGTTTGTAAGACACGGCGGGAAGGGGGGCGGGGGTGGGTAGAGCCTGCGTTTCTGAAACTTAGGAGGAATGATGGGAGGTTTTGCTCACTGAGCACCACCTGGTGCCTTCGCTCCGTGCTCTACCGCGGTTCTGGTTGCCGGCCTTTCACCAGAGCCCTCAGAGTGGGCTTGGGGGGATGGGGGTAGCAAAGCCCCTCCCCAGGAGAGGGAGTCAGTAGGTAGTGCCTTCAGCTGATCCTTGAGAAAGACCAGCAAACCCCGTTCTTCGGAAAGAAACCACAGAAGGGGTTTCACGGGGCAGTGGATGTGGGGGTGGGGGGCGGGGATGAGGGGCTGCCCCCGTGGGACTCCTGCTTTACAGTGAGTCTGTTTCACTGTGAAAACCATGTATACAGGCCTGGCCGGGTGGCTCAGTGGGAGGGAGCACCATCCCGTGCACCTGCAAAGGGCTGCAGGTTCGATCCCCAGTCGGAGCCCATGCCTGGGCTGTGGGTTTGACCCCCGGTCAGGACACGTTCGGGAGGTAACCGGCTGATGCCTCTCTCACGTCAGTGTTTCTCCCCCTCTCCCTCCCTCATTCTCGCTCTCTAAAACCGGTGCGTGTATCCTCGGCTGGGGCTTTAGGAACACATGTGCGCCTGCGCTAGGTGGAGTAATGGCCCGCAGGGAGGTCCGCACGCTCATCCCAGACCCCGAACCTGTTAGTGAACCGGGCGCAGGGGTCTGCACAGGTGTGATCAAGGATCCTGAGACTCGGAGCTTATTCTGGATTATCTGGGTGGGCCGAGGTCATCGCCAGGGACTCTTCAGAGACAGCCGAGGTGTGCAGACAGGCCCCTAACCTTGGAAGCTGAACCCTGGGTCTGAGCCACGGCAAATCCGTTCACGGGCTGGGGGACCTTAGCCCGTCAGCTGACCTTTAATAACTTCCGTTCTGCACGCCTTGTTAACTGTCTCAGAGCCACGGCTTCTGCGTGAAAAAAAGACAGGGATCGAGTTAAAGCCTTTTGCATGGTGCTCAGTCACTTGATGACATCAACATTGAAAATATCGGGATTTCACTTCTGATACATCCTTAGGCAAAGACCTATGATTCATCGAAAACTCTCTGGTTAGAAGCTTAAGTTATCTGAGGCCAAAACCACACTCTGCACAGCTTCTGGTTTGTGAGGAGACTCACAATGGGACTTGGTGAGATCGAGCGAAAGTGTTACAAATCCCAACGCCCAGAGCCAGAGTCCAGGCTGGAGGGCTAGGTGTGGGTCTTCCTGAGTTCTGCGTGCAGCCTGCGCCCCCTGCAGGCTGCTGGGAGTAGCGCCCTCCGAGCAGCTGGAGGCGCGGAAAGGGGAGGACTCCCCGGAACGACTGAGCCCCGCGGGCTGGCACTCAGTGGTCTCTCCCTGGGGTGCATCGACGGGGAACACACCGAGTGTATATCACTGCCAAACTCAAACTGACAGAGATGGTGCTTCTCTGCAGATTAATCGATGTAATCCAGTCAGATTAGAAGACAATGCAAAAAAAAATAAGCTGTTTCCCAAAACTTGAGAAGCCGTCCCTAAAACCCATAGGAAAGGAAGGACACCCAAGAATAGCTCAGGCTGTGGGGGGAGGGCAGGGGGGCGCCTTGCCCGAGCTGCTGTGAAACGTCACTGTAAGCGACAGCTGGGAAGCAGTGAGGCCTGTGGCAGAAATACACGAGCCACGGAACAAAAGCCGGAGTTGGGACGGAGGTCTGTGTGCACAGGGCAACCATGTGCGCGTGGAAACTATGTAACACACGGCGGCCGGCAGCAGGTCACCAAGGGGTGAACTGAATGGAGGTGCCGGCACCGTGAGTGTATCCAAGTGTCCGGAGGAAGTCAGACCCCTCCCCCACGCCACAGAAAATCAGTAGGACGTGCTTTACCACGTGCATGCAAGCAGGAAACACTTTCAGTCTTTAGGAGAAAATATAAGAGACAATGCTGTTGCCACCAGGGTAGAGGGGTTTTAGACAAGAAATAAAAGGCACGTGCCCACCAAACCGTGATGGATGGGAGGAGGCCCCTGAGCTGACCCCTGTCCCCCTGTCCCCCCTGTCCCCCTGTCCGGGGCCCAGGTGTGGATGGAGGAGCTCGCCCTGGCCGCGGTGCTGCAGACCCACCTGCGGGACGAGCAGGACAGCGTCACCCGCCACGTGCTGGGCCGGCTCGGGGGCCTCAGCGCAGAGTGAGTACGGCGCCTGGGGGGGGGGGGTCGGAGTCAGGGCCCTGTGTCCTGCGTGACTCGCCACGCCAGCCCCGGTGTCCTCCTCTGCAAGGGGAGGGGACATGGGCTCTGCCCCCGCCTCTTCCAGGGTGGTTTTGAAACCAACCGAATTATAAAGACGGGGCGGGGCAAAAGTAGGTTTCCCGGTGTGAGTGCACGAAACAGCACGTAGCGTTCTTTGTTAATTATTGTTTTACTTCCCACCCGGACGATGGTAAAGCTACCCCCACCCCCACCCCCGCCCACCCTCCCCAAGGTCCACGCGGTGGCTCCTGCAGGGCCACGACCTGCTGCTGCGCTCGGCCCTGCGGAGGCTGGCACTCCGCGGCCACGCCGTGGCCACCCTGACCCAGATGCGGCTGTCGGGGAAGAAGAGCCTCCTGCAGGAGCTGCGCGAGCAGCACGCCCTGGAGCAGGGCTCCGCCCACTGTCTGGACGAGCACCAATGGCAGCTGCTCAGAGCCCTGGTGAGCGCGCCGTTTGGGCCCCTCCCCCCGTCCGTCAGAACCCCGGTCCCGCCTCCCCCGACGGGAGGGGGTGGGGACAGTGGCAGCCCCGCGGGGCTCCAGTGTGTGCCGGAGTGAGAACTATGCGGAAAAGGCATGTGACCCCCGAGCAGAGCTAGGTCCAGTCGTCACCAGGAGGTCGGGGGAAGGGGGTCTCGTCCGTCCTAACAGATCCAGAGAAAGACCCTGTAAATCGCGGGGCTGCGATTAAACCCCAGCAGGCCGACTCCGGGTCTCAGGAAGCCACGCAGCTCCAGGGGCAGCCGGGGGTTCTGGCCCACGAGCGCGGGCCAGGCTCACGCTCTGCCTCGCTTGGCCAGGAGGGCTGGTGGGAAGCAGGCGGCCCCTCCTTGCCTGAATCACAGTCACACGAGGAAAGACAGGGCCCGGGGCCCCACAGGCCCTGCTTTGGCTTCTGTGATGTCCCCCGTTACTCAAAACCCAGCTCTGCTGTGTGACTTTTGGAAAGTTACTTCACATCTCTGAGCGCCTGTGCCCTCATCGTGCCTAGTGCTCGGGCCCCACTTAGTGGTCAGGGAGAATGAGGACATCCTTGATGCGTGACAGGCCGCAGGTGGCACTGGGCACGCAGTGGGGACTCCATAAATGTCCCTGGTTGAGGGGGCAGCTTTCACACATGCCTACCTCACCCATTGTGTTGGGCTTTGCACGCCTGCTGGCCCCAGCTTTCTGCCCCTTCTGCATCTCTGGCCCCACCTTCCTGGGCCCTGGGCAGGGCGGGCCCCAGGTCCCCATCCCGGCCGGCCGGAGCTCCTGTGCCGGGCAGCAGCGTGGGCTCGCCCCTCTCCCAGCCCCTCCCTTCCTGTCCAGGAGACGCGTGTGCGGGAGGAGACCGGCAGGCTGCAGGAGGAGACGCAGCAGACGAGGCTGCAGCTCCAGCAGCAGCTCCTGGCCGAGGCCCAGGAGGTGGGGCGGCTGCTGCAGCAGCGCATGGAGCACGCCATCGGGCAGGCGCTGCTGGGCCACGCACGGGCCTTGGCCACCAAGAGCCGGGCCAAGGACCGGGAGGACTTCAAGGTGCGAGCCAACCCCCCTCCCCAGAAACCCGAGGGCCGGAGGCTTGGGGTGGGCGGGAGGCCGGGGACAGACAAGAAGACCACTCGGACAGAGCAGCCACCTGGGCGCCGGTCTGCACCGCACCCTCCTGGGGGCGTCTAGCCTTTCAGGGGTTGCCTGTCATTTTACAAAGTGACAGACAGCGGCCTTTAACCTTGGCGGGGACGGTAACCCGGGCCTCACGTCTCCAGGGACGGGGCCTCTCAGCACTTCCTCCCTTTTCTGCTTTGGGGCGGAAGGTGTATCATTGAGGAATGCATTTCACTGCGGGTAACAGAAAGTCCTACTGAAATGACTCAAACGAGCAGGAGTCATTCATCCCACCTAACAAGGATGTGGAGGTAGGGAGCTCCGGGCACAGGGGCGCTGCGCTGTGACCAAGGACCCAGCTCCTTCTGTCTGATCTGCTGTCTGTTCTTGGGGCTAGTGCGTTGCCTCCTAGTCTCAAAGTGGCCACTAACCCTCCGGACATCAGATCTGCATTCCAGGAGGGAAGAGGAACATGACAGAGTCAATCGCACTGAGGCTTTCCCTTGACGTTCGGAAAGGGAAGCCCCCCCCGCCGCCCCCAGCAGACTTTCCCTAACGTGGCACCTGACGGGCCAGGGTCCCACCCCCAGCCGGGGACTGTCCCTGACAAGGAAAGTAGGGCAGGGCGGGGCACCAGCGGGTTTGCAGCCGTGAGCGCACCGAGCACAGAGCTCATTCTGGTGTCATCATCTCCTGTGCGAGCCACTGTACACCCCCTTCTGCCCCACCCTGTCTCACCGACCAGTTTAATGCCGCCGCGTGCTCCCCGCCTGCTCCCAGCCCAGCCCAGGTGGGGAGTGGGTCCAAGACGCAAGCCCGGGCAAGGGGGAGGGGGGGCACGTGCACCCCTCACCGCGTCCTTTCCCTCCCGCCCGCAGAGGACGCTGCTGGAGGCGGCCGTGGAGAGCGTGTACGTGACCAGCGCGGGCGTGGCCCGGCTGGTGCAGCCCTATTACCAGCAGGTGGGCGGGGCCGTGCGGGACCACGCGGAGCGCAAGCTGGAGCAGCTGAGGGCCCTGCAGGGTACGTGCCCCCCGCCCCCCATGGGGAGGCCTCAGCCGGGGGCCGCACACGCTCGGGGTCCGGGACAGAGTGGGCCGCCAGGCTGTTCAGGTTCCGTGGTTGGAAATCGTACACTGTTCCGGTTTCATCTGCGGGTGTAACCCCTGCTTCGCCCCCCCCCCCCCCGACCCAAAGGCTTTTGAAAAGGCACTTGGAGGGCATCCGGGTGCAGCTCAAGGGGGTTTGCTAACGCGGGTGAACAAGGACAAGGCCCGGACAGTGAGGGGGAGTCTGGGTAGGGTCGCCCACGATCTGGGGACGAGTGCCGCCATCGGAGTCCTACTTGGTGGTGACATGGCTTTGGCTCCGGGGCCTCCCGGCGGCCGGAGAGGTGGGAAGGTCCTCGGTGAGAGCTGTTGCAGGGACCGTGAGAAAGCACAGGCCAGCGGCCCTGTGGTGGTCCCCGTGGGCTCTGGTGCGTGGCGGTTAGCCTGCGTGATGGGACAGACAGCGTCCCCACGGCCAGCAAGGACATCATGTAGTGACAGGCAGAGCCAGGTTCTCAAAGGCCATGCTTATAGCGTCCTTCCCGGCATCGGGCCCCCGGAGCAGGGCCCACCCACGCTCTCAGGCGGGCTGTGCCTGGACCGGCCTCAGGGCGCAGCGGGGGGACCTGGTCCCTAGGTGAACAGGCGGAGGAGGGGGGGTGGCAGGTCCCGACGGGGGTCTTTGGTGACTCTGCTGTCAGTTAGCTCAGCCGTGCCTCTGTCATACCCTCGTCCCGGGGAATTCGAACCCCGGATTCTGACAAAGCCTGGCTCGCCCCTGGAAGTCCGCCAGCCCTGCAGACCCGCCCCCTGGGTTTCCGGCGGGAAGGCTGACCTCCTCGCCCAGCCAGAGACAGCCCTCGGGATGGGGACCTTCAGGACCAGCGCGCTCACGGCCCCTCCCGGGGCCTCGGTTTCCCCGTCTGTGGTGCTAGGGTTCGGTCAGCCCTCTGTGCATCCCCTCCACTCTGACTGCCCGCTTCCCTGGTACCCCAGCCCGGATGTGGGGGTCGCCCCACAGATGAACTGAAACAAGGCAGCCGAGCGTGACCAACCCCATTAACGCCTCGTCTTTTTTTCATTCCGTCAATTCTTTTGTATTTAAAACTCACAGAATGCCCTGCCCCGGGAGGTCACCCAGCCACACCACCCTTTAAGGGCTGCACAGCCCGGGCCCAGCGAGGTGGGCGGCTTGCTGGACGGCTCACCGCTGGGCAGGTCCGGCGTGGCAGCCGGGGCAGTGTGGTGGCCGGGTCCGTGTGGCCGCCAGTGAACCGTGGCAGCGGAGTCAGCCTGTCAGCCAGTTAACCGTGACAACTAGGCAAGTGTGGCAGCTAGTTGGGTGTGGCGGCTCGTTAGGGAGGCGTAGCCGCTGGCGAGGTGCTGCCCCAGGTCAGGTAAGTGCGTCCCAACGGGCAGCTCAGGCACCCCAGATATCAGAGGCCGCACTGCCCGACCCCTGGGGAGCACCTGTCAGCGCCGAGTCTGTCTGCCCGCCCACAGCTCTGTGTGTCCAACTGTCCTCCCTGCCGGTGTGGGTTCCGCTGTCTGCAGGGGCTGCCGCACGTCACACCTTTCTCCTCCCACACCTCCCCTCGCTCCCCGGCCAAGAAGGCGGCGGGTGGTGGAGGGGGAGCCGGCGGCCTGCTGGCGGCCAGGTGCTACCTGTGACAGAGGCCACTGCGTCCCCACCCCGCCCTGTCCCCCCCGGGTGGACCCTGGGCCGGCGTCGATGGCTCTCTGCGAGCAGGCGTGCGCTGCTGCCCCTGGCTCCCGGCACCCACCCCAGCCCCCGACCACGCTGCCCCTCAGGCGCCGTGTGTTACGTGCTGCAGGGGAGAGGTCGGAGAGCTACCGGCTGCGGAAGAAGCAAGATCTCGGCGACCCTTCGTCGGGGGACCAGGTGGCGGGGGCGGCCCGTGAAGCAGCCCCAGGCATCCACCAGAGGTGAGGGCCCCACGAGGGCACATTCGCCCCCATGTGTCAGCTTTCGGTCTCAGCGTCCCCCACCGGTGCCCCCGGACGCCCGGGAGTCTGCGCAGCTCCCTCCCCTGCCTGTGCCCCCTCCCGGGGGCCCGTCAGGGGTGGCCCTGGCAGCGGTTCTAGTTCTGAGTCCCGTCCGCTGCCCTGACACAGCACCACGCCCCCACTCACACCTCGGGGTCTCCCAGAGGCAGACCCTGGCCTGGGGGCTGGGTGTGGGGGGGGGCAGGTTGCTAATGGGGGGTGACCCAAGAAGTCAGGGAGGGAGCAGGAGGTGAGGCAGACGGGTGTCCCGGCTGCGGCCTTCGCAGTGGCCCGCCACACGCCACGCGAGGTGGCAGGGTTCCTCACCGTCCTGCAGGTGAGAGCCGGGCAGGCGCTGCCATTTCCCCAAGTCCCACACGGCCAGAACGCGGTGTCCGCCACCTGGGCTGTGGCTGGAGGCTTGGGGCGCAGTCTCCCCAGGCTGCTCAGGCTGGCGGCAGAGTCCAGCACCTTGCAGAACGGAGGTCTCTGTTCCCTGTGGCTGTCAGCGGGGGCCCTGACCTCCTAGAGGCCTCTCTCTGGCCCCTGCCCACTCTCCCTGGCCCCCCGTCCCGGTCACACCTAGGATCCCTCTGCCTCCTTCTTCCGCTGCATCGCTGACCCCAGCTGGAGGAACTTCTCAGTTTTACGGGCTCCGACGGCTGAGACCCACCTGGGTCATCCGGGGCACTCTCCGAGCCCTAACCTCCTGACTGCCATGGGAGGCAACCTCTGCACCGGTGTCAGGGATTAGAGCTCGGGCCCCAGCGGGGGATACCGCGTGGCCCGCCGCAACGGGGAACAGCCGGTACCGCCTGGGATAATGAGGGGTTTCCAGGGCAACTGAGGCCCAGCACACCGACCTCGGCAGTATCACAGCCGGTCGGTCCCTGTCTGTCCCCTCGGCCCCAGGCGGAGCTCCGTGAAGGCGGGGACGACAAGTCTCTTCTCACACCTGTACCTTCCAAACCCAGCACAGACCCTGGCGGGCCAGAGACACGTTCATGAGTGAACAAAAGAGTGGAAGAGTGGGTCTGTGCATGGGGGGTGGGTGGATGCACAGTTGGGTTTTGTAGGATGAATAGGAGTTTGCCGGACAAGTAGTGAGAAGAGAGGGAAGATATCGCTGGCAGGACCAAGCATGAAGCAAAAGGGAGGTGGCTTCTGCCTTCAGGCCTAGAAAACGCCAGCTCCTTTCAGAGAACGGGTCACAGACGCTGAGGAGAACCAGAGAGTAATCCTGGGAACAGGGAGGAGGGGACCGAAGGTTCCTGTTTGCGAAGGTCAGCGGAGAGGCGGCAGCCAGGGAAGGGGGTACTCGCACAGGCCGGGGGAGGTGCCTGCCCACACAGGCACAGGGCATTGAGGGGGGGGGCGCTTTCTCCAGGCCAGGGACCCCCTTTCTGCCCCGAGGAGAGGCCGGGCTGCCACTCTCCTGGTTTCTCAGGGCGGCACCCAGGACACGGGCCGCCTGGTTCACAGGGAGCAGCCAGGGCAGTCCTGCGACTTTAGCTGAGGGGGCGTCCTTCAGGAGAGCGCCCCCGCCCCCACCCCCTGCCGGGGTTTCCATCTGTTCCCGGAGTGAGGACGTCACCTGCTGCCCTGCCACTTTGCAGCTGCGGGACCTCGGGGACGCCCCGCTCCCCTGAGCGTCTCCTGCCCCCGGTTCTCCCGCTCTCTGCCCTGCTGATGTCGCCCAGCCACCCCAAGGACCTGGTGAAAAATGTGCCCGCGATGCCGTAAATCCCGAAGAGGGAAGCGCTTTCCTGACGAGCCCGCCTGCGGGGGAGGAGGGGCTCTCTCCAGCGGCCGCAGTAGATCGTGGCCATCCTTCTCTCACAGCTCCCTCCCACGGCTCATGGACGGAGGGCTCGCAGCCGCTCCTCATTCGCAGGACGCAGCGGGCCCTTGGGAGAGGCCTCTGACCCCCCACCGCCGGCCAGGGCTGGGGCCAGAACGGCCTTGACGGCCTTCCTTCCCTCCCCCAGGATGCGGGCGCAGCAGCGCAGGTTCCTGGCCCAGTTCACCGCGCACCAGCGCGTGCGCCTGGAGGCGTGGCAGCGGAGGGCCGGCGTCCTGGACCACCTGGAGGCGCAGCTGGAGGCCCAGCTGCAGGTGCGCGCCTCGGGAGCACGCCGGCCCCGCGGGTGGGCGGTGCGTTGGAGAGGCGGAGCTAGCTAGCGGGAGGCGGGCCTTGTGGCCCCGGGTCGGCAGTGGGGCCTTGGCGAGGGGACTGCACGCCCTCTGGGGGCCCCTGCGGAGCCTCCCCAGCGGATGACACATCGGCCTCGCAGTGCCCTGGGAGCCTCCAGGTCACGGGGCCGCGTGGATCCCACTCGGGCCAGGCCCTGGGCACGGTGGGCTGCTGTCTAGTGACCGTGGGGGCGGGGCAGCCGTCCCCTCGTCACCCCATGGACTGCTCCGTGTCAGCGCCCACAGCAGGGTGTCACCGAGGCAGTGCTGCTGGGGACCAGGGCTCGCGCTTGATGCAGGACACACAGGAAGTGCAGGCCTCGTGACGGACAGCGGCTGTCTCGTCACAGAAGAATCTCATCGGCGTGTGATTGCTGATGTGATTACCGATAAAGTGCGGCATGAAGCGAACTGGCCGCCTTCAAGGGAGATCACCTGTCCCAGAGGGGAGGGGTCCCTGTCCCAGGGTCGGCCCTGTCAGGGACAGCGGCTCCCGTTCACGACCTGAGGGCCCATCATGGGGTCACCAAGCTGTGTGTGTGTGTGTGTGTGGGGGGGGGTCCCTGTACCTCCTAAGGTCGTCCGGGGGGGTGGTCCCTGTACCTCCTAAGGTCGTCCCCAGCCCCCAAGGAGCAGGTCCCTGCTAGGACCGCGGCCACTGGTCCCTGTGCAGCCCGCGCAGTTAGTGAGTTGCGAAGTCCGGCTTTGTGCGGTTTGAGCGGGCGGGGAGGCAGTGGCTGAGACTCCGGCGCCAGAGGGGCCCTCCGGCGCTCACCTCTACAGAATGGGAACCCGTGGCCCCTGCGGTGGGGGCGAGGGGGGACCGCTACCTGGCAGGAGCTGAGGTCAGCTCCCCCCCCACCCCACCCTGTGCCTCTGCCCTGCGCCTGACCACCCTGGGGGCTTCTGGGAGAGTTCTCCCGAGCCCTGGAGACAGGGAGCCCCGAGCTGCAGGCAGGACCGGGGGAGGCCCAGCTGATGCCCCCCCGCTTTCGCACGCAGGAGGCCGAGCAGGGCTTCCTGTCCGGGCTGGCGGCCTTGGCCCACGTGCCCCTCCCTGAGAGCAAGCCGTCGTCCAGTAAGCGCGGGCCGCCAGGTACGCGGTGGGGGGTGGCGCGCTGCAGTGGGGGGAGGGGGGGCTCTCTGGGCTGGGGCTGGGGGTTCCCAGTCCCGTGCCCACCACTGGCTAGCGGTGTGGCCTTGGGCACTGTGCTTCCCTCGTGGGGCTTCTGGGTCCTTATCCGTCCATGAGCAGCCTCCGGGGGGCGCCCCCGGGGCCCTTTGCTGGCCCTCCATTGGTAATTCCGACCCCTGGGCCTGCGGTTCACCGGCCGTGTCTGATCTCTGACTCTGTTTGCCCATCTGTGAAGTGGGGCAATGAACTCCGCCCCTGTCCTCCCCCGCCAGGAGATGACTCAGCGACACCACAGGGCGTGGCGGCCTGCTGCGGGGGAGGGGCGGAAAGTGTGTGAAACACCCAGGTCTCTTACAGTAAAGCCCGCACCTCGGGTTCCTGCTGCTTCGGGAGTCTCCCAGTCAGCCGGCTGCCGCAGAAACACAGTGGGAGCCCGAGGAGCAGAGTTCGAACCCCGGCTCTGCCACGCACATCTGCGTACGGGCTCGGGACAGCACCCCACCTCCCGGCCGCAGCTTCCTTACACACGCTACACGGGCAGAGCAGCAGTAAGGTGCCCGGCGTGTACCTGGCCCACAGGGACACTCGAGTCAGGAGGGGCTGGCGCGAGGCTGACAGACGCTGTCATTGACCAAAGTCACAGCCAGCGGCGTCCGGGTCCCCGTGTCTCTGCAGAGAAGTCCGTGAGGACCAAGAGGAAGAAGCCCCCGCCACAGGAGAGAGGCGACCCCAGGGCGCCCAGCAACGACGACCCTGCTGCGTCTGGGGGACACCCCGCGGCACCGCTCAGGTACGAGGGCCCGGGCTTCCCGCCTGTGGCTGCGCACTGACCACCCACTGTGTGCGTCTGTGTGCGCCTGGACGGACCCAGGACCGGGGTTCTGACCGGCTGCGTCTCCTCTGTGTTCTGGCAGCAAACGGCCGAATCAGCAGGAGGGCGACGCCGGTGACGGCGAGAATGCAAAGAGGATGCTGAAGAGGAGGAGCAACCTGTAGTCCACGGCCTCTCGGCCTCTCGTTGGGGGCCGAACAGAAGCCCTGATCGGAGGGCACGGCACCCCCCCTCCGCCCCCGTGAGGGGGGCCCACCTGCCTGGGGATGGACCTGGGGGTGGGGCCTCCCTGCGATCGCGGGCTTGTCGTGAGGGTGGAGGTCGGGGACACCTTGCGAGCTCTGTCCCTTCAGCTCCGCCCCTCGGGGCCTCCTCCTGGCTGTCCGCACCCCCACCTCTGCGCTGGTGACCCCCAAACCTGCCTTCCGCAGGGCGAGGCTCTCACTCCGTTCTGTGGGGGTGGGGGGTCTCCAGGCATCGCTGCCGTTTTCCGGGTCCAGACTCTTCTCCTCCATTTCCACCCCCCTTTCCTCCGCCCCACGAACCGTGGCCCCTGGCTGCCACCAGGGCCTCTTCAGGGCCCACCCCTGCCCATCCTGGGCTCAGCCCGCAGCTCAGGCCTGGCCACTGGGGTCCGAGTCTCATGACCCCATGACCCCGACGCAGACAGTGCCCGACAGCACCCCCCTGACCACGGAGGAATGTCCCGGGGGCACCACTGGTGAGAATGTCCAGAAGCTTCCAGACCAGCCCATGGAGAGCTGGGAGAGCTCTTTCCCACCCAGGACAATGCTGCCAGGAGAGGTTTCCCACCCAGAAAGAAAGTTGCCCTTTTCATTAAAAAACAGGGATTCCCGCCCTTGGCACTGTGGCCGTTTTGGGTGAGACAACTGTTTGGGGAGGGGACGGTCCTGTGCACGGTGGGATGTGCAGTGCCACCCCTGGCCCCTGCCCACCCGACGCCAGTGGCATCCCTACTGTGACAGCCAAAAGCATCCCCAGTCACTGCCGGATGTCCCGGCGGGGGGGGGGGCATCCCTCACTGACCTAGGGCCATTCTGGATGGAGAGCTGGGCGTCCCCACAAATTCCCAGGGCATGCTGGGCTCTAGGCACCGGGAGCCGCTGTCCCGGGGATTCTCCGGACTGTTTAGGACCTGAATTTTTATCTCATATAACCTGAAGTAGACCCCCCTGGACAGGAAAGACTGGCTCCTTCACGGAAATAACCCACAACCATGGCATCCGCCCGTCCTGACCTCCTGACCCGCTGGTCAGCGACCGGGATTCCCACCGCCGACCAACAGCCCCACCTGGTGGCAGAATAAAGCATCTCCTTGTTGGGCAGCGTCTTCAGCAGAGCTTCCCTCCTGCAGGGTCTCCAGGACCTGGTCCACATTTTCCTTCCTGGCCTCTGTACTCGGGGGGCGGACGGCTCCCACGCGGGGAGTGTCTGACAGCATGCCCGCGGCTGCCTCGGCCTCCGCCGACCTCGCGTGGGTGATCGTGGTGCTCCGTGGGTGCAGTCCCCTTCGCCCACGGCAGTGAGTGTGTCTCAGCGCACCTGATGCTGGCCGACGCCTTAAGTGAAAACACCCCAGCCCGGCCCGCGGGCCATTCAGTTTTATTTTTTTCCACAAGCTTTGAATTCAGAAGAAAGAGCCACAATAAGTCGGTTGTTAAGTAAAAATGGGGGTGATTACAAAGGAAAACTTTGTACAAAACTTTAAAAATCTGACTGCCCCGTCGACCTCCGCAGAGGGACAAGGACACGGGCAACTGGAGGCGGCCGTCACCCTCCCGGTCGGCAGCCCTGCGTGGGGACGCGAGACCCCTCTCCGAGTGTGACCGGCGCCCGGCCTGACTCTCCAGGAAGGGCATGTGGACACCGGGAGGACGGCATGCCCGGGACACGGCCCTGAAACCACAGAGACCGGGGCTTCCGGCGCGGGAGGCGGAGGGCAGTTCTCCAAGCTGCCCTGAGAGGTCACAGGTGGCGGCGGGGCGGGGCGCCTTCTCTCCAGTGCGGCCGCGGGAGCCTGGGGACCAACCCCGAGGGCGGGGGGCGTCTCGGCCCGGCGCCCGCACTGGTCCCCGGCGACGTCCCGTCAGAGGCCCTCACGAGCTTGCATACGCAACTCAGTAACATGCATCAACTACCCTAGGACAGCTACGGGGCGCGGAGGAGCCGCCGGGAGCCCGGAGCCGGGCCGGCGCGGTGGGCGGTGGGCGGTGGGCGGTGGGAGGGGCGGACGCGAGGACGCTGGGACCTGTGCTCACTAGGGAGGGCGATGAGGACGCCACGCGCGGCGCGGGCGTCGGCGCGACACACAACTCGGGCCGGGGGGGGGGGGGTTCCAAGCAAACAAACCACACTAGTACCACTTCTTCCTAAACGCGAAAGGAAAGAACCTCACTCTTGTGTCCCCCAGCAGTTCCACGTAAAACTAGGGGTCTGAGAACCACCGACGGGGTGGGGGGGAAGGAATGGACATATTTCCCAGAATCCTTCACTCTTAGCTCATCCACTGGTCCGGGGTCAACCGAGGCTGGTGATGTTGGAGCGGCCACCAGGGGGCGCCACGATGCGGTGGCCGGTGCGCCTGGGGTTGTTGTCATCTATCTGGGCACCTGAAAGAGACAGAGCCAACCACCTTTGTCACCGCCTCCAGTGGCCGCTCCTGAGGACCGGGTGCCTCCCCCACGTCCCCGGCCTTCGGGACACGGAGCCCTCATCTCAACCCAGTCCAGGCTCGCCTCTGGGGAGGCACCCCAATCTCTCTCCCTGGTGCCCCCTTGGGCCCTGGGACACCCTCTGACATTGAGTGCTTTCTTGTCCGTCTTCACGTTCTTGAGACAGGTGGGCACCCATCCATGGAGGGCTACTGTGCGCAGGCACGGACTTGGTGCGTTAACAATGCTGTTGCGCTTACGGTACACGATACTACAAAAGGGGAATTTGAGGGGCTCGGCTCACGTTTCTTGGGGAGACACCTAGAGGTCCGTCTCCAGGGCCGGATGCCCCAAAGGTGTTCTGTGTGTGGTGTGCTTGGGTGTGCATGTGTGTGTGTGTGTGTGTGTGTGTGCGCGTGTGATCTGCTCACAGCCGCAATCACCCACCTCACTCGCAACGGGCAGACCTGCATGGAGGAGGCAGCGGTCCCTAGTTTAGACCTGCAAAGCCGACCAGCCGTTCTAACCTCATGCATCCCCTGCAGTTCAGTAAGGACGTGGCAGCCCAGCAGCACGCCCGGCGCCTGGTGCTCGGCAGGCGCACACTGAACGAACAGGCAGTGAGCGGTGGGTACCGCGCAGGAGGGGCCCTGCGGGGAAGGCTCTGGGTCCAGGCAGGAGACCGAGGTTCCAGGACGACCCACGCCTGCACTCCGGGCAATCTGTCATCACGCACTTCCCTCCCCCGGCCTCACTTCCTTTTCTGAGAAACAGGGGCAGAGGCCCCTCCGCCCGCGGCATCGCGAGATCCGGGTAAGCCACTCGGGCTAGAGTGCTGACTTGGGATTTCTGTCCGCGTTTCGTTGGTACACAGCGTCTCTTCCTGGTGGCTCAGGAGTCCCCCAAAGGCCCCGAAATCGGCCTCTGCTCACCAGCTCTTCCCCTCCCGATCATGTGCACCTCCCTGGCTCCGCGTCAGGTTCTCTGAAAATACCCGCTGGCTGGGACAAAAGGACCCCCGTGCCACAGACCACGCGGCACCTCTGCGGTGTCGCCTCACGCAGATCAGTGAAAGGAGGGCTGTCAGGTCGTTCCTGGTGGCCGGAGACGTCGGCGCGGCTGGCAGCTAGTGAAGTCACCTGCCACCGTGCCGTGAGGCTGGCCCCGGGCACTGCCGGCGGCCTCAGAGAGCCAAGGAGGTCATGGCCCCTCCAGCCGACAGTTCGCCTCACTGCTGGGCTCGGTCGGGAGTGCGGACGGTGTGACCCGAGGACAGAACAGCGGCCGGCGCACCCGCCCGGCTTCCCCGGCACTGCCTCCCGCCTCCCTCCTGCTGACTGAGCGTCAGAGGAGAGCCCCGGGGTGAGTTCTGGGCCTGTCCGTGCAAACACACTAGCTCCCTGCGAGCCCTGGGAGCACATGGTGCCTAAGGAGCTCGTGCCCAAAAGGCTCGTGGAAAGCGAGGAGGACTGGACCACAGGGAGCCCCCCCCCCAGTTTGTGTCCCTATGGCACGATCGCTGAGCTGGGTTGCCCCCCCAGATGGAGGGAAGGTCGGCCACGCCCCCAACCTCCATCCACGTTTCATCTTCCCTCCGCCCCTCCACTCTCTTCCGCCAAGTGCCCCCCTTTTCCATTTCGAGGCCCTGCATGCCTGCCAACCCAGCGGTCCGCACACGAGGGCCACCTGACAAAGCCCGGCCCACCCCCTGTTTGCATGGAGCCCACAGTTTAAGAATAGGCCTTACATTGTTAAATGGCTGCTTTTTAATGCCCATTTCATAGCTTGTAATAGCTTCGTGCACTGAGCCTGAAACACTTACTATCTGGGCCATTAAGAAAAAGTCTGCTGACCCTGGTATAGACTGATCACCTCGTTCCCAGAGCCCTGCACACACTGTCACCTCCAATATTTTGCAGGGTGACGCCACTTCCAGGTTCTCACTGTGTGCGTGCCTGCCCCCGTGTGGCGATCCTGAGAAATTGCAGACACGTGTCCTGGGGCACATCTGAGCTAACTCTGAGGGACCAGCCAACTTCAGGTTTTGCCCACACACTCCCTGAGCATCAAGCCCGGCCCTTTGACACGGAAGCTCTCAAGGTCATCATTTCCTTTTTGAAGCAGTAAGAATAACCACCATCCACACACAGGGCTGCTGTGAAGACAAGCCACGAGTCCCCAGAGTGCGTGATAAACGGCAGGGGACAGGCCGAAGGCGGTGGCTGCCCCGTCACCACGCCACACTCCATGGGTAAAAGTGCAAAACTGTCCCCAAGTGGGACTCAGGATGAGCCAGTTTCCAGGCAGACTCTTCGTAAGCCAGGGCCCGGTATCTCCGTGCTGCCCATGGGCCCGCCCCCTCAGCGTCCTGGCCTCCCCCAGCCCGCACTGCCCCACCCAGAGGAGAGGAGGCGGGGGCCCCGCGGTCCCCTCCTCGCTGCCCACCGGAGGCCCTGCGTCCCTTTCCACAGGAGTGTGGGTCCCCGGCAGCCTGGGTGGCGGCACCCCTCACCTGACAAGCTGAAGTTGGACTGGTGCAGGTTCCTGATGGGCGGAGGCTGGTGTTTGGAAGGCGAGGATTTGGCAGAAGGAGCGGGAGTTGCATATTTGGGTGTAGCTGGCACCTCGTACACGGGGCCGTCGTACATGCCCCTGGGCACCCCTTGCAGTCCGGAGACCTGGACGGAGGGAGGGGAGGGCAGCTGAGGGGTGAGCGCACACGTGGTGCTGGCTCAGGGCCCTGGGGTCGCCTCGGGGATGGGTGTGCACACACACTCCACGTGCACACGGGTGCACACCTGCAGAGCCCACACACTCCACAGACACACGTGTGCACACGTGCACAGATGCACACACAATCCACATGATTCTACACATAAAGAAATGCACATGTGTACACCATCGTATGTACATGCACATACACACGTGTACATGCAGGCACACACACATGCACACAGGTTGGCCTTTCTGGCAAACATCAGCCCTTTAGTGTGGGAAGCAGGTTGTCAGGGCGACAGCAGGGACCCAATTAGGGAAGACAGGGGACCACAGTGGGGGTTTATCTGAGGTGTGGGCAGCTCCCCCTCCAAGCTGGACTACAGATGGGCCAGGGCCTGCTCCATGGCCTCTGACCTCCCAAGGTCAGTGCTAAGACTCTTCAAGGAAAGGAGGGAAAGAAAGGTGCAGAATGGAAGGGAAGGAGGGTGCCGGCCACCCCTCCAGTTCGCCGGGGGCCGTGTATTCTCACTGGAACGGCCACGCTGTGGGCTCTGCACTTTCCCAGCCACCGGCTGGTCCGCCCTTCACGGCGCTGAGCTCCGGGGCTCTGATCTGAAGCCAAAGGGTCGGGACACCTCATGGAGCGGGTGCGGAGCAGTGCACCCTGGCCAGCCACACCCAGCACCCGCCCGCCCCCAGGTGTGCACGCCCCTGTACGGTGTGCCTGGCCCCGGGGCCCCCGAGGTCCGGCTCTGACTCCGGCCGGAGCGGCAGGCAGGGGACACCGTGCGGCGCGCACCAGGGCCCGGGGCACGCACCTTGTTCCGGATCCTGACGCGCTGGTAGAGGTGCTCCGGGAAGGGCTTCCGCGGGATGAAGCGGCCCAGGCCCTTGCTGACGCTGAGGCTGCCGTCCTCGAAGACGATCTTGCCCTGGCTGACGACCACCAGCGGG